GACATCCGTATTATTCTATACAGAATCGCCAAAACGCATGCCATCCAGAGAGATTATAGTAGTATGCCGATGTACTATGTGCCCCCGGCAAGAAACGGTCGCCATCCCCGGTCATAGTTTACTCCGCGGCGCGGCGGCATCGATATACGTCGCACCCAGGCGTAGCATGTCGACCGCCTGGGTGACCATGTCGTGCACAATGTCTCGGGCTGGCTTGATATCCTTGATGATCCCGCTGACCTGACCCATCAGGAACGGCATGTCCACCTCGGACTCCTGGTGTTCCAGGTCATGCGCCATGGGCACGACGCCCTTGTCGGTCAGCTCCTTGATCTTCTCCGGCTGAGCCTCCCACTTGGCAATGTACTCGTTGAGCCGGACTCTCAGCGGCCGGCCCGACACGACGAGCGTGCGGAGCGTGTCGGTGAAATCGGCCGTCACCACGGCCTCCTTGTGCAGCCTGCTCGCGCCGGACTCCTCGGCTGCGACGAATCTCGTGCCCACCCACACGCCCGCGGCGCCTTGCATCAACGAACTCGCCAGGCTGCGGCCGTCGTAGATGCCGCCCGCGGCGACCACCAGCGCCGGCTCTCCCGTCAGGGGCGACTTGTACTTCTTCGCGACGTCGCACACGGCCGGGATGAGGATGCTGTTCGCGATGTCCCCTGTGTGGCCGCCGCCCTCGGTGCCCTGCGCGCACACGATATCCACCCCGGCTTTCAAGGCCTTCTCGGCGTGTTTGGGCGCCCCCACCATGTTCATCACCAACACGCCGGCCTCGTGGAGTCTCTTGATCGTCCGCGCAGGAGGGACGCCGACGGCGGAGACGAAGATCTTAGCCCCGTTCCGGATGGTCACCTCGATCAGCTCGTCGAGTTGCCCGTGTGTATAGTCGTGGTTTGTCTTGCGGGCGGAGCCGCCGACCTGGGGGAGAGCGAGGTCCACGCCGAAGGGGAGCGACGGGTCTGTCAAATGAGACTTTAGTTCGTCGATGATCTAGGGCGGGCATGTCAGCGTGGCTGTCTCTCATTTCAGAGGTTCCTGGACCGTCCTGTGCACTGTACCTCTTGTAATTGTTTCGGTGTATATCCTAGTCCGCCGATCGTGCCAATCCCTCCTGCGTTCGACACCGCTGCCGCCAGTGGGCCGCCCGACGTGCGAGCCATGCCGGCCAGCATGATGGGGTACTTTATCCCCAGCAGCTTGGTTAGCGGGGTGTTGAGGGGCGGCGGCGACGACATCTTCGGACTGGACGGGGGCACGAAATATCAGCACAGTAGAAAATGAAACTTGAGTAACCTGGGAGGCGATGGCCGCAGCGCGAAAAAAGGATAGGATCAGCTCTCTTATTGTTCGATGCTCGAGATGGATCACATAGTACAGTAAACAGAAAGTGTGGGGGTCGGCAATGGAAAACCATCAACCGAGGCTTCGCTCGTGTCGAGCTAAGAGATGGACCTTTCCAAGCGGGCGATCATATTGCCATCACAGGCATTGAGCGAGCTGAACCGAGGCGTTTCGAGCCTGCGACAGGACAGGGGCAGCGGGAGGGACGAGGACAGCATCATTGACGCTGCACACGTTTGATGTCGCTGGGGAGGAGAAGACCGCAGAGCACGCAACGACTACTCAGCCTGGTCCAGCCTCGCCCGCTTGTTCTACATGTTGTTGGCGGCCTCGAATGGCGAACAGTACATTTCCTGGATCTCGTCAGCAGCGTCTGGGTGGCGTCTTCGAACGTATTTGGGCACCGCAGGGCAACGCCGCCGTTGTAGTTGTACAAAGAATCTGCCGACGCGCCCAAGTCGCAGGACGCAAGGATCATGAGCATCATACTCATGCTCGCCAAAGACCAGATTAGGGCGTTGAAGGTACGTCACGAACTGAGAGACTAATTATTAGAACGCAGAGGCCGTCGATTCACGGCCCGTCGGCTGCTTTTGTCGTCCAGCCCGCAATTGAGGTTTTGATATTCGTCGGCATTCGACATGCTCTTGAGGCCTGTGCTCCTGTGCATGGAAGTCATCGCAGCAAGGAGCCAGGAAAGCTTGCTGCCGAAGGGATAGGTTACTTCGGAACGGCAAACAAGACGCAAGGGTGTTGTCACAGACTGACCGGTGGCGCGGAAGTTGAGTTTGTAGCCCGTACATGCGAGCCACACGGCGCCGGGCTTTATCTTGGACGACTGGTGAGAGTGTGACCGTGATGGAACCACGATGACCTGGTTGCGAAAGTGGTGTAGCAACGATTGTTAACTTCCAAGCAGTTCCTCCTCCATCTCCTGTACTTGTGGTGAGCTGGGGCACAGCATCAGCCTTTGAAGGCTGCTATGAAATGTGAGGCTGGACCTCACCGCCCTGGAACAGATCACAATACTATTACTCGCCAACCCGCAGAAAACATGTATTTATACCATAGGCCGCTTAAGACGGAAATGTCCTTCGGACATGGGCACATTGCTCTGCACTCAGTTTCTCACCCTGTTCAAGCAGCGGCACCCCGTCTCTGTACAGATGCTCATAATCTCCGACATGCCAGCCGTTATGAATCACTAGGGAAAAGTTTCCAGTGGCGGCCGCTGCACTCGAATATGTTCCCCCGGACACAGCGAGGATCTTGGCCTGGGAAAGATGGTAGAGATCCACAATGTCGTCTTCTCCCTCGATGATGCTTGCATCCTGTCTGATGGGTGCGATGATCTGGCGCAGCTCATCGTCAGACTCTTGAGCAGGCGAGTGCTTGATGAAGACATTGGACGTTAATTTGCGTCGGAGACACGCCTCCACTGATGCAATCGATCGTTCCAGCTTCGCGTTGTCGAAGTTCCACTTGCCGCCGTCGTGGTGCTTCTGGATCAAGTCGACAACATCGCCCCAGCGATAGTGGACGTGCACATCGCGAGGAGGAATGGGTTTTGCTTTGCCCTGACCGAGCTTGATGGCAGCATTGCGTCGGATCGCAGTGGCTACCCACGCCCGAGTCCAGTCGTCCCATTCCCAGTCCTGGTGCACCTCTTGATCGGCGTAGATGATCACGTCGCATCCTTCGACGTTTTGCCGCACTTCTTGGATGAACGCCTCGTCGTACTCCTCGCCTCGCGCCATGTATTTTGACTCGTCGATAAACCGCTCGACTCCCTTGCGCAGTCTCACCACACGCTCAGGGAACGGCTCATGCCCTCCAACCTTGGTTATGGAGGTGTGCAGATTGCACATGTTGTTCCAATTTCTCTTGGACGAATCGATTCCTAGATTCAGCTCATCCATGGCGTTGTACTCGAACACGTCGAAATCGAACGTCCGCACGGGGTAGAAGTCGACGTCCAGGACTTTCGCCATGCGAATTCCATCTTTGATAAAGTGCAGGGAGGACCCGAATCCTTCCTGCGGCACGCCGCCAACCTTGACGAGCACGCGTCCGGACGGCGCGATATTCGCACTCGAGCTCGCGGTGAGTGCCTTGTCGTTGATAAAACTTCGGATCGGTTCTCGAGAACGATAGGCGCTGCCGATCAAGGAAAGGATGAGGAAAGCGCAGACGGCGGCGGCTGTGAGCTGGCCTCTGGACCATCGCCCGGGTACGGACATACTGCACTCAGTCTTGTCTTCGATCCGTCGTCAGTGTCAGGACGCGGTCGCAAATCCGTGAGCAGTGAGGGCAGTGGGAGGGGGTTTTCGTCGGTCACCAGCCTGACCAATATCAGGACTTTGACCTTGCGGTAAGATGCCAAATCACGTACATAGCGCACGAGAGACTTCTACCCCGGTACCTGGCATGGGAAAGGCAGCCATCTCACAATCTGATCAGCCGCATACCCCTGACCCTTTCCCGATCGGACCTAAACCCTGCCACCCACCTGCTTAAGTAAAAATTGGAACACGAGATAGAGCATGATACGCGTACGTGTCTCGGGTGGCAGGACGCGTGGTACTATATTCAAGGACACCCGATTCCGTCCTGTGGCTGCCCTCTTCTGGCAGACGAAAAGAGGCCGGCCCCTACGTATTGTGCTTAGGTATCGTGCAATAGTGTTGCTGCTCAGCAGGGCCTGGGGCTGTCACGGTTTGCCCCTGGATCGATCTTATCGCGACTCGGCTCGGAAGCCAAGCTGAGGGGAGCATTTGTGGCATTTCAGCGAAATACACCTCATGCCAGACTCCTAGGATACGTATCTTAATGTGTCGTGATCAAGACAGCAATCTCCACGAATATTGGTGACGGTACCCTCGTGTTGTTGCTGCTGTCCCGTGCATCCACGAGTTCTCATGCCTAAGTCAAAGAGCCCGGTCTCCTGTGTGCCTCACGTCATGATGCCGATAAGACCTTGTCCCGCCCCTGCTTACTGTCGTTGATATCAGAGTCATGGCCTGCTCACCGGAGATTTGGTAACAGCGATCTCGTCGGCCCTCGATCATCGGTTGAAATGGGCTGGCCAAATCAAAAGTCTACGCGAATCCCCGAAACAGCGGCTAGTCAGGCCCAGAGACGAGACTTTGCCCTTTTGGGTGCGGCTGATTAAGGTTTGACGCAGGTACCCGCAACGCGCCCAATTAGAAGCCACGTTAGCGGCAGGGGCTGCCGGTAACACTCGGACTGTGTGACTGGCGGCCGCCGCCTTCAGCTGCCCCTCGAACAAAGTCCCACCACGCCACTGCGCCCTCACCGTCTCCTCTGGTGGCGGCGTGGTCAAAAAGGGGTCGGGGCGCTTCTTGGTCCAATTCGACGCTCGCATGGCCCCTGGCCTGGGCCTGGAAGCACATGTCGGGTGTTGTCGATTCCGTCATGAGTCCTGAATCTTTATCGAGGGCTGAAGCCACGATAAGCACACCATTGACCGTACAATTTCATATTCGGTCGCCGGGATTGTTGGGCGCATCTGTGGTTCAGGGGCCCCGATCGTCCAAACCGTCGAGGGTTCTCGTGTGACAAAACTTATACACTTCGGGCTGTACTTCGTCCTCGACTTCCTCGTTAGACCCCGGTGCACACAGAGAGCCAAAATGTCCGTCGCCTCGACACTGTTTGCACGGGGCTCGGACAAGTTATACCTCGCCATCCTACTCGTCTGCGTCGTCGTTATCTCCTGTCTCAACGGACCGTTTGCCTCGCTATTCCACGCCGACACCGATGGGGTAGACGACTTTGTTTATCGAGCCACAGGTATCGAGGGCGACATTCACCTCTCAGATTTCGAGCTCGGCGACATTGCAGAAGATACCGCGTCGAAAGGAGCCGTCAGCCATTTTTACGAGGGAGAATGGGAGCCTCCGGGGATTCCAGACCTGGATCCAGAGAGGAATAAGATTGTGGGCGAGTTCATCAACGCCATCATGGATCCCAAAGACAGGACGTTTCCCCGACTACGATGCCCACGACCCATAAAAGAGCGATACGAGATCCTGCGACGGCGGAGAAACTTTGCAACGAGATGGGACACGCCTCCGAGACGATGGTTTTTCGCTCTCAACCTATACCAGTGCTCGCACGTCCTGCCGCGCCTGATGGCTTCGGTGGTAGAAGCAATCCGTTTCCTCCGGCCCGAAGACTGCGTCCTGTCCATCGTGGGTGGCCGCTCGAACGATGGCACCACTGAGATCCTGGCCAAGTTGCGCGAAGAGATTGAAGCCATGAACGTCACATACTATTTCAGCACGAGTGACGTCGATCCGTTGAAATCGGGCAACGACCGCATCACCGAATTGGCTATTCTACGAAACCTGGTGATGGATCCCCTGGTGCGGCAACCCGAGCTGTACGACCCAGATACGACCGTCATTTTTCTCAACGATGTCTCCATCTGCACGGACGACATCCTCGAACTTGTATACCAGAAGGTGAGCGGAAGCAAGGTTGTGCCGAGTAGATATGTTCTTCGCAGTGCTAACGGTTTCTGTCAGGTCTATCAAAAAGCCGACATGACCTGCGCCATGGACTGGGTCGATCATGGAGAGACGTTCTACGATTCCTGGATCTGCCGGGGCATGAGCGGCGACATGTTCATCGAGATCCCACAAAGTGGCAGCTTTGAATTCAAACACAACTTGTTCTGGAACGATCCAGACACGAAGACTCGCTTCGAGGCGAAGCTTCCCTTCCAGGTAGGGCAAACCGTCCGCACCCGTGCATCGACGTCCGCTAACACATGACCAGGTTTACTCATGCTGGAACGGCGGCGCCGTCTTCACTGCCAAACCGCTCCTCCAACACAACGTCACTTTCCGAGCTTCGTACAAAGACGAATGCTACATGGGCGAACCCACGCTCCTGTGCAAAGACTTCTGGAAACACGGTCATGGCCGAATCGCCGTGGTGCCCAGCGTGAACATCGGCTACAACGATGACGAGTCACGCGGCACAAAGAAAAAGTTTGGGTATGCCACCGAGATCATCCATCGGGCGGAAGACGAGATGGGACTGGGCAAATACAGCAAGATCCATTGGCAAGACACCCCACCGGACCTCATCAAGTGTGAGCCGGACTGGCAGCACCCCACGTGGGTACGGTGGGACGAGGCGAAGGAGCAGGTGCCCTTCGACTGGACCCATTCGGGATACTTCAACGCTGAAAAGGCGACGGAGGAAGGCGTCTCGTTCGAAGACGGCGGCGGCGTAGACCCGTGAACGGGGGCCGGGAGACGGGGATTGGATATGAAAGAGCGGCGTGAAGAGTGGGTATTCATTAACCCACTACTCGCCAGAAGGCAGAGAGAGATGTCCCTCTCAAGCGGGACAAATTTAGACCAAGAGTTACAGGGCGTCTGGTCAGGACACGGCTTACGAGCAAATAGACGGGACATAGAAGTTCACGATGCACGAACGAGCAATGACTGGAGTCTTGGAGCAGTACGCGTGAGCAGTGCCAGGTTGGAAGGACACGGTACTGTAGCAAGCCATGGCGGAGAGATGCGAGGCCGGGTCGAGTGTTGAGGATGGAGGTTGTGGCAGAGGCCGAACGAAGTCAAGGTCAGGCAATCCGAGCACTGCTCCGTATGTACGCCATATATAATATCAGGATAAGTACCAAGTCGCCGTCCTCGTACTCGTCCGGACCGAGTGACTTGGTTCGAGTACTCTGTACGAAGTACGCACTTCCTCCTCCATGCTCAACTCCACGTCCTTCTCGCCCGCCGTTTCAAATGCAAAGCGCGCGTCACCCGGTCTCGGTCTCATCCAGGTGCGAATCACCGCAGGACCTCAGGCACTACTGTACCTAATGCTGATGCTTTAGCCTTGACATCCACCGGTCTGATGGGAAATGCCGAGACAGATCTCAAAAGAACCGATCCATTGCGTCGGATGGTGTAAAGTACACTCAGTCGACACCGTGGAATAGTAGTATTGGCGTTATGCCTTGACCTTTAGTCTTTTATCCATTTGAGTACTCCGTACTCCGTAATTCGCTGACAATCAAGAAGATAGGCTTGCATGACGGGCAGGTACAACCTGGAAGAAGCGGATCTCGAGACAACGCGATCATCGTCGAGCTCGCACCAGTATTGCAAGCAAGGTCTGAGACATTCGCAACGACATCAGCGAGCGAGTAATTACTGTGTATGGAGTACTGTGTATATCTATGCTCTCTCCCGAGTCGACTTGTCGACTTGTCTTGTCCCACATCATCGATGCTTCAATCGCCCTTCTTCTTCTAGTGACAAACAGGAATCCAAGTCTAATTACCCTCTCTCGCACCGGGGTGAGTACCATGACCAATCCAGTGTCGATTTGCTGCATCACGATGTATCCCTACTCTGTACGTGGGTAAAATTGGGAATTCAACACATACGCAAGGGGGCGCATTTGACGAGCGCAAGGGCTACCATGTACGAGTACGGTAAATGGGGTGGCAAAGCTCTCCCCAGACCTGCAAAACCTCTAGACTCTACTTCCTACATTCCAGCGCGCCGGTCCGTGAGATGCAAGGACGCGCCCTTGGTGATATAGATCCCCCCCCCCCTGTTCTTTGTTTTACTTTCCTTTTCCTCTCTTTGATGGCGATGAGATGGCCATTGTCGGGTCGGCGGCCGCATCGAAACCATGTTTCCACGATTCGAGGTAGCTGGCTTTGCCATCACTTTGGTCATCGTGTTCCTGTTCGGCTCTCGATTCAAGCCCGCCTTCCCGGATCTCGACCCCTCGGTTCCCAAATACGAAGATGAACCGCCCGAAGCGTCTTTCGTGGACGACGTCGAGCCGCCCAATCCCTTCGAGGACGCCGAGGCAGGGGACGTCTTCTCGCAGCAGCCCCCAGAGGAAACCGGAATTGGCAAGCTGGCAGATACGATGAACTCGACGCTCGGATTCGGCAAGGTGTTTGTGATTTCCATGCCGGACAGGGCGGACAAACGAGATGCGTTCAGCCTCCAAGCCAGGCTGTCGAATATAACGTTCCAAGTGAGAGACGGCGTTGCCGGCGCGGATGTCCCTGCCAAAGCTCTTCCACTTGTACGTTCACCTCTCTCTCTCTTCTCCTCCTTTCTGGAAGGATAAATCGCGACGAAGCTGACATGCAGCCTCACCTCCACAGCATTTCGTACAGGATCCTGGTGCCACGGGATGTTGGCGCGCGCACTTGAACGTCATGCAAGAGATGGTGCGGGAGAACATCCAGTCCGCGCTGGTGTTCGAGGACGACGCCGACTGGGACGTGGCGATCAAGTACCAGATGATGCAAGCAGCGCGAGCGACACGATTCGTCACAGGACAGCCCGAAGACGCGAAGTCCATCTCCCCCTACGGCGACGACTGGGACATTATCTGGTTCGGACACTGCGCGGCCAACACCGACCCGGAGCACGATCGACAATTCGTTGTCACCGATGACCCGACAGTGCTGCCACCCTGGTCGCGCTCCGAGTTTATCAAGCCAGACATGTCGGCCTGGGAAGAGGACTCGGACGACTACCTGAACTTCCAGACCCGGATCTACTTCAAATCGAGCTGGAACTCCTGCACGGCCGCGTATGCCATCTCGCTGCGTGGCGCCGAGAAGGTCGTCTTCACCGAGAGCATGGTGCCCTACAACGATCCGGTCGACAACGGCATGGGCGCAATGTGTAACCAGCACTTCCTCGACTTTACCTGCATCGCTCCATTCCCGACCGTGGTGGGCATCTCCAAACCAGCTGGCCCGTCAAATCGAGGGAGCGACATCCGCGGGTTAGAAAACGAGCAGGTCGTCGAACAAGGCTGGAGTGAGCGGCTGATGTACTCGACCCGGCAGAACATTCCTCGCATCCTCACGGGGGAAGAGGACTTTGTGAGTGTGTTTGGCACGGACGACGTGGCCCCGATGTCGCTCAAAGACATCGGAAGCGGAACAGGGCACGGAGAATGGGTCTGGGCAGGGACACGGTACTTCAACGAGGACGAATACAAGGCCGTCCGAGACACAGATCTGAAGCAGGCAGAGGCCGAAGCAGATCAAGAGGAAGGCATCGAAGTTGGCGACTGGCAAAGCCCGATCGAGCCGGAAAGAGAGCAGGGCGAGCATGAGGTAGAAGACAGGACTGTCGGTATCACGGGCAAGCAGGATGGGGCTTCCAAGGAGGGGGCAGCTGAGGTGAAACTTGCAGACGGTGCCGGAGCATCAGGGCCGGAATCAGAACGGGAGTCGGACTCAGAGCGAGAAATGCTGGGCCATACACCCGAACTGCTTGAAGCCCAGCCGCAGTGAAGCCCTCGACGCTATTGTTCTTGATTGGCAAGAGTTGTCGAAGAGTGTACATACAGAGATCAGCAGAATCAGGCCCGAAGTGACTCGACTATTGATGCACAGGCTGATCGCTGTTTATGCGGAGGCAATATTGTGCCTGCTGTCCACAAGCAGAGCGAAGAACAAAACGAAGAAGAACAGCGGTTTCTCAGACTTGGAGGACAAGGCTGAGGGACTCGATTGAAAGCCACGATATTTCCGGGCCAGTGACCGGTGGGAGGAGAGATAGGTGCTGGCGAAAGCTGGGAAAGATATTAGGCGGAAGGAGACAGGGACCGCCTGATGGTGGAATGGACAGCGGCAGGATCTGTCGAGATATTGAATCCTCGCACTGTGTAGTCCGTGTCTTCACGGGTCAGAGAGTCACAGTTGCAGCTCCAGTGTTGGAAATGCTTCGGTGAATTTGAAGCCCCGCACATCGCCCTGTGGGTGGCCGGGTAAACTTTGTCCCGTGGGGCGTGACGTTAAAAGAGCCTCGGCAAGCGAATGTCATCAACTGCGAGCAGTGCAAGGCTGTCGTCGCCTTCGGCCGCAAAGCCAGAATAATTCGATATCCGATCTATTTCCATGTCTTGTCCTACGAGGTCCTGCTAACAAGTGTTTGAGATACGACATGAACTAAATCACTCGCTCGCGCTCCTCGCGCTGCCGCTGCCTCTCGGTGACACCTACCACACTCACACCGCGCCCCCGCCCACCATGGCCGACGCACTCTGCGGGCCATCAAATCCGCTTCAGAACCTGCAGAAACACACGCAGGTCGACCGGACACTCCAGCAAGATCGCCTCGTCGGGAACAGACAGTCGCCTGCTCAGGTGAGTTCCCGTCTGCCTCACTTTGCTCTATCTCCGTCGCTGACCAGTGTACAAAGGGCTTCCGTACCGCCGACCCCCGAGCTGGCGCCCTCGACGCCGACTTCCATGCCTTTGAGAACTCAGCGCCGAACCCTTTACAATTCCACCAGCCCGAAATCTTCCATTCTCAACACCACGTCCCGTCCGCGCCGGGAGCATGGGCCGCAGATTTCCAACGACTCTCGCTCGGCAACCAGTCGCCCGTGCCGGCGCAACAATTTCGCACCGAAGCTCCGTTGATCAAGTCCACCCCGCTGGGTGGGTGGCAAAATGAATTCTTGCGCCAGCGGTCCAGCGCGAGCACACCTGTCTCTCAAGGAAAGCAAGCAGTGCGGGACCTTCCGCAGATGAGCAGCAATACGTTCCAGCCCTCGTTCATGAACTATGCCCAGACTCCGTACCAATCGTACACCACCGGCGGCTTCCAGCAGCAGGAGCCGCAAATGCAGCAGCCAAGCATGGCACAAGAGCTTCAAATCTCCGACGTGGACTTTGAGGCCGCGTTTGCCGATGCGCTCGCCCACGCCCAGGAAATGGACCAGGACCGCGCCCACCAGATCGAGGCCCAACTCCAATCAGACCCTACAGATGCCCACCAACTGAGCCAGGGAGAGAAGATCAAGATCGGGAGCGACGCGCTCCATTACGTCGAGAAACACGAACGAACCGCCGAGCCGAACGCACGCGACGCCGACGAACTGGCCCGCACGGCAGGCGAGCTGCTGAACAGCGTGTCACACGACACGAGCGAGAAGTTCCAAAACAGTCAATTTCTGCAGCTGATGCGCAAGATTCGCGACCGCGAGGTCGAGGTCCAAAATGACGACCTGCAGGAGAAGTCGACGGGGAGGCCGGCATCAGAGAGCCTCCACGTCGAGCACCATTCACAGGGTCCTGTCCCCGCGGCATCGACCGGGATGGGTACCGAAACGGATACAACGTCGCACTTTGAATTCCCCGACATGGACGCCGTTTATGCCCCCACGAATAGTGACGATATGTGGACCGATCACGACGGCGCGTATGGCTCGCAAGCCGGGGTTGAGTATGCCGCAAGTGCGGTACACCCCCAACCACAGCAGTCGCCCTACACGTCGTACGGGTTCGACGATGACCAGTACCCGCACACTCAGATGGAGGCACTGCACCCGGGCGGGAGGTACTATCCCGACCAGAGTCCCCAGCTGCAGAAGGCGGCCGTGGCCGGAACCGGCTCTTCCGAAGTCGAGATGAGCGGTGCTGTGCCCCCAGTCACCGGCGGTGGCAGTGTAGTCGAGGACGGAGCCACGCTAGAAAAGCGCATCTCCGCCAGTGATTTCGAGTACGTCGATCAAAGTGCCGGATTAGCACGACGGTTCGCGAGGCAGGAAATGAGCTTCTAAAGTCGAATGGCCTTTGTTACCATGTAAGGTTAGGGGAAAGCGAGCGTCGAGCGTCGAGCGTGTTCCTTGGATATGCCCGGCTCAGTGTGGCAAGATCTATACATAGCTACACACTACTGTAGGAACGAGTATAATCATCATGACGACGATGGAGTGAGCTGAGCTCAACCAGCATTTGTCCTTTGCGCCCGAGAGTCTATCGGCGCTGTGTGTGATAATATCATGAGCACGTGAATAGGTTTCCCCCCCTGTTGCAGCAGCTAGAGCATTTCCAACAAATGCCCGTCAACAGTGACGGTGCGAAATGCAAGATCAGCCTCGAGTTGTCGAAAAGCATTTGAATGCCGCCCCACTGCTCTGCTGAATCAAGCTCGACGCAGCGTCAGTCCGTCCGAACCCAGTAATGTCGGCACAGTCTGCTCCTTTTGTCGTGTCAAATGCCGAGGACCAGCAGGGCGACAGGGAAATTCCATAGCACCAGCAGGCTGGAAGAAGTCTTGTCAAAATAGTTGCGCATCGGCCCATCCACAGCCTCAAAATATTGGGTTGCCCGTGACTTGCTCAGGCTCCCTGCCTCGCTATCTCAACGCTCAGCACCAGAAGATGAAAGGTCCTCGCTCCAACTTCTTGAATCGACTTCTCCCGGTGCCGCTGCCGCTGCCGCTGCCACTGCCACTGCCAATGCCGTTCCCATGCGTCGCTCCATTGCCATTCTGCCCTCCATCAGCCACACCCGCTTCCTCATCCAGGTCCATAGCATCACCCTCGTCTACCTCATCGAGCGCATCACTCCACTCCGACCCATCTCCCTCCCCATTCATAGCCAGGCGCCACCACCGTCCCATCATGATCTTCCCGCTGGGGAGGATAGAGCCCTCGTAAGCGTAGGCATAGTCGATGTCGTTCCAGTCGAGGTACTCACTCAGTCGATACTTCTCCTCCATCTCTTCGACTACATCCTTGTCGAATTTCGACCCGTCGCGCCAGAGCTGGTTATTGAGAAGTTTGTTGCACAGATGAGTAGTGAGGTGTGCGTCGATCTCGGCAGGGTCAAGTTGTTGCCCTGCTGCGCCCACGCCATTGAGGATGTGAGCGACTTGAGGATGGCTCGTACCACTCTGGGCCATCTGCGTCGTAATCGTCGTTGTGAAGCTGTCGCCATATTCTTGCTCCGCGTGCTCGAGGACTTGGATTAGGTGGCGACATGTAGGCTTGTACAGCACCATGATTATGCGTCTCCACCCGGGGATGCTGTTCAATCGCGGCTGCGCTGGGATCGAATGGACGACACCTCGAAGCCGCATCGCCAAGTAGGGATGATATTTCGGTAGCCGTGTGCCACTTTGTGAATCTGGTGGTGTTCTCATGTCGTTGGGCGAGGATAGCACGACAAATGGGGCTAGACCTCGAATAAAGCTGCACGAGGCAGAGTCCGAGTCGAGGCCTGGAATCGTGTTCTGAAAGATTGGGATATTGGCGAATATAGGTGGCCAGAAGCCATCCTCGTCATTATCGTCGCTGACGGTGAAGTCGAGTTTCTGCATAATGTCAGCCAAGCAGCTCTATAGTAATAGACGCTTGAGATTTACCAGAGGATCCACCCTCTGCCAGTCCTCCGCTAAACTTTGCACTTCTTCGAGCTCTTGTTTCTTCTTCGGCCACTGGGCCAGGGTGCTGTAGTGCCCATACCATTCAACGGCGATCTGCAAGTCATCGTCATTCAAGTGCTTGTCCCACTTCTTCAAATTGATCCCAGCACGCGTTAGGTCTTTCGCCATATGCCTGTAGGTGTTCTCAACCATGCCGGCTGATCCAAAACCCTGTCGCTCTTCAATAAGATGACGGTGCCAAAAGTTGCGTATGTGGAGTAATGCGTGCGTATCGAGGAGGAAGCTGTCTGGCAGCGAATGCTTTCTCAGATTCCGTCGCTCTTGATATGTAAGTAGGGTGGGCTCGGAATGCTCTTCTCCCGCAGCGGACTCGCGGAATAAAGTTTCTAGGGATCTGTCCCAGGCGTATACCACAGCTAGATCGTAGTTCCCCCGGGATGACTTGATGACGTGTGCTAGTTGCGATGTCGGCGACAACAGGAGGTGGGAGAGCACGAGCTGAATGGCGTCAAAGAGCGGATTCGGCTGGCCATATCTCTGTCCACGACATGGGAAGAAGAAACAAGATAAGAATGTGCGGATCCAAGGTGAGTTATGGGGAGAAGCGAATGCTGCGAGATTCTTAGATGTTGATGGCGGAGGAACATGGGCCTGTCGTGACTTGTACGCCTCTATATGACGGGTAAGTAAGCGTTATGAAGATATGAGTACCAGATGCTCAAGGCAATATACCAATAACCATGTCTCTTAGGACATCCATCTGTACACCCAGCCGTGGATCTTTGGGGTCAGTAAATTCGACGAACTGGCGAAGCACGGCTCGACGAAGTTGATACGCGAAAATGTAATGCCTAGGATCGGAGATGTATGGATAGTCGTATCGTAGGAGGAATCTTTCTTTCCAGATGGCCGATTCTTTAGGCACTAGGAGAGCAGCAAATGTCTTGCATGAGCAACTCAAGTTGAGGAGGTCCTTGTCATTCGGTAGGTGAGACACAATCTTATTGAGGATCTGTCCACGTTAGCGGGCTAGGACGTAGGATTACGCTGATCTCCCTTGCCTCAGTAGGAATTTCTTCAAACTTGCTGCTGCAAGGCGTTGGAGATCTGGGCCTAGCTGAGAGAGACTGGTCGTCTTCTGGACTCGAAAAGCCGTGCATTAGTTCCTCGTCAGAGACTGAGATCGCCTTGGGTTTAGCTGGAATCCTGGCCTCTGCGTGGGTGGAGTCCTCCTCAAGCATGTCGACATCCGTGTTATCAGCATCCTCAGGCGGATCAGAAATGTCTGAATCGGTTGGGTCAATATGGTTCAAGGCGATTTGCACGGAGGGAAGATCCATGACCCAGCATGGAGTGGGAAAAAGAGGCCAGAACTCGGCAGAGGAAGAAGAATTAAAAAGCACAGAAGAGAAAGTAGAACCGTATGGGGTCTTGCTTAACATGCCACGTTCGAAGAAGAGTGAAAGAGAGCAGTTTGAAGCCAAGTCATGACTGAGGCGCCAGGGCGAGGAGATCGATGTTCGGTGAGGCAGCAGAGAGGTGGGAGTGAATACCTGCAGCAGGAGTGCGAGGACGAGATCGATGTTTGGTGAGGCAGCAGACAGATGGAAGTGAATGACTGCAGCAAGTGCCAAAGAGCACATTTCACAAGGGATATGCTCGGCCTTGCGTCGACGAAGTTTTGCACAATCGGCCACGCAACACACCTGCTTCATCGAATTTGCTCCATCATATTTACTCCATCGTAGCCTTATTCTCTTGTATGTCTGCCTGTGGGCCCCGTTGAGTTTTACTGCATTAGGGCCATGGCACAGAACAGCCCAGCAATGACTGACAGAACTGCAGGCTTGACGTGGCTGCCTGCAGCATTTGACCCTGGGGCTGAACTCGAGGCCGAGGAGGGGTTCCCCGACGAGGTTGGGGAGCCAGAGGCCCTGGATACCAGGTATATCTCGCCAGAGGCGTCTGAGGATACAAAGATACGACCTTGACTGTCGATAGCCATGCCGACTGGGCGGAAGCAATCACCGGGACATCGCGAATTGTCCTGGTTGGCGAAAATATCACGAGCAGCCGTTCTGCTCTGGAGCTCGTCCACTGGCTCGCCAGTGGCGTTGAAGGCTACAACGGACATCTTGTATCCTGTGAATCACGATAATTAGCCTGTGTCAATAACGCCATCAAAGATAGCATAATCTTCCAGAGTCTTGCGCGAACTCACCCACAGGGTCAGTCCTGTCCCAGCTTCCGTGGAACGTGACCCAAGCTTCTGTGCCGCTGTTGTTGAATTTAATATCAAGAGGAGCCATGTGAGCCTGGAAAACCAAGCTTGCAGGCAGTTGCTCAGCACAGTAGGCGTCTGTCCGGTTCTCATTGTTGGAATCAGGGCTCGCGTCTATAGCAAACTGACTTCCGACGGTCAGATTGTCATTGTCTGGAAGATCCTCAACGCCCCAAGCCGAGAAACACCAGGGGTAACCAAAGTTGCCCCCTTGAGAAGCATACTGGGTGCCGTTCAGGTAGCCCAGGAAGTTCAGTTCCTCGGCAGGGTTGTCCTCGTGCACATCGACACCCATACGGGTAATCTGGTCAGCGGAGTTCTCCACTGAGTAGAGGCCACCGCTGTTTGGATGCTCCGCAATACCGACATCATTTCTCATACCCCATCCTAACCGCAGGCCGTCGCTGTTGAAATCGTATGGAGTGCTGGTCACATTGCTGATGTTGAATGCTTTGATCTGGGAGTGTCCAGAATCCAAACTAGCAGAATCGAAGTCGATGTTGGAGGTGGAGCCTCTGGTAACCACAAGCATACCAGGAGCCTTGTTTGACAGCAACAGGGTTCGAGTTGTGTGGTCGCTGCCTGCCATGTTGCGCACAAGAGTGGCGTTATTGGAGACAGTCATGGCTGACTGGTCATAGGTCCAGGAGTAGACACTTTCGGATGAGGAAGCATAGAGAGTTTTCCCATCCTGCGAGATCTCTATACCGTGATTCAGCTATTACTATGTCAGTCGTTGGGAACCCTTCTGACAGCAAAGTGACGAACACTCAACGCAGGAGTAAGGTCAGTGGATGTGCCGACAGATACACAACCATCATTCTCTTCGAGTGTATGTGCGGAGACAACGCCTCTTCCTTGTTCCACCACCAAGAGATTGCCGGCCTTGTCAAGGAGGATGCCACGAGGTTTGGATAAGCCTGTTGCAACCACTTGCATACGGTACCCCGATGCGAGGGAAGGCTGAATCGAGCCTGAGGGTGCTGGACCGCAGCTTGAAGATGACTGCGCGACTGCTGGCGACAGGCTAGCAGCGAGCACTGCTACGACGACCGATGGAAAGGTTCTCATCTCGGCCGGGTGGGTGCAGGAAAGCGTGATTGAGGTCGGTGGGTGGAAGGATCAGTCGCACTCAAACGAGGGCTCAAGGGGGCTTTATGGTATGAGAACTAGACAAATCCTTCGTGCGGAAAGCTGCACAGAGCTCCATGGTAAGAGGCAGATGGCGGCTTGGATCTCTCTTTTCCCTGGAAGGAGCCGTGGTCATGATGCTTGCCAATGCAAGAAACAGTCTACCAATATGATGATCTCATGCACAGAGGCCTGCGGGTACTGCCGGAGTTAGCCCTAGCGCCCCATGACAGGGGCACGTGAGCGGAGGTGAATGCCGATAACCGAATCCTCGTTCACGACATACAATTGTGTTTGTAAGCATCCAAGTAAAGAGAGACACGACTATAGAGTACCGATTGTTATGCCGCGAGTGCAGAGGTGGTGCTACAACGGCACAAGTCGACAGCACAGTCTTGGCTACACCAGTGACGCGTCAGGAAACATGACCGGCGACAGCGACAAACCATTCGTGGATTTCAGCCGCTCGCCTGGCACAGCCGCAACATTCGAGCGGGGGCATCTATATCTATCAATCTCGGACGCCGTATTGCATCCCGTTCAATGCGCCTGTACCACCCCGGCTTCGTTGGCCTGTGCCGAAATCCTCTTCTTGTATGCGTTCACGTCTCCAGGGAACTTCTCGACGATACCCTTGTCACAGACCCACAGGCTGGTACAGACATTCTGAAGCATCGTCACATCGTGGCTCACCATCAGCACACCGCCCTGGAATTGCCGCAATGCTGTCGAGAGGGCATCCATCGCTTCGATGTCGAGATGATTCGACGGCTCGTCCAAGACTAGAATATGCGGGTTCGTCAGGGACAAGCATGCGAAAGCCACCCTAGACTTCTGACCACCAGACAGCAATTCAAGCTTTTGCAATCCCGTCATTCCTGTAATGCCGAAGGCGCCAAGATGCCGTCGATATTCTTCGTCAGTCTTGCCAGGGTACGTCTTCTGCATGAAGCCTACTGCGGACGTGTTCATGTCCAGAGCATCCACGTGGTGCTGCGCAAAGAAGCCGATGCGGAGACGCGGGTTCTGTGATATCAAGCCAGACGTAGGTTGGAGCTGCCCAATCAATAGCTTCAATACTGTTGTTTTACCCGCTCCGTTGGGGCCCACAATGCCAATCCTTGAATCGAGTTGGACGTCCAGATCGACGTTGCGAAGCAAGGGCTTGTCTTTTGTGTAGCCGAAAGAGACGTTCGTCATCTGGATAATCGGAGGAGAAAGCTTCTCGACGTCGGGGAATCGGAAATGGACCGTGTACTCAGCCTCAGGTGGTTCGAGGACAGGCATTTTTTCCAACTTCTTGATACGAGACTGCGCCTCAGACGACTTGGCAGCATTATATCTAAATTTGTCAATAAACGCCTGCAGGTGGGCTCGTTGTGCCATTTGGTTGTCGTATTCGCGTTTGGCATTCTTTCTTCGTTCTTCCTTGGTTGCGTAGAAGGCATCAAAGTTTGCGCCTTTGTAGTAATCCAACCTTTCCGAATGCTGATGAATGATATCAGTTGCCACTTCGTTCAGGAAAGCACGGTCGTGTGACACCACCAATACCGTGCTAGGGTATGTTTGTAGATAGTTGGACAAAAATGTGATCGAGGGGACATCCAACATATTGGAAGGTTCGTCGAGCAGCAGCAGATCTGGCTCACAGAAAAGCGCTCGTGCAAGGGCCAGCCGCATCCGCCAACCGCCGGAGAAGGTCTTGGTTGCGAATTGTTGACGTTCTGGCGAGAAACCGAGACCGGCAAGGATACTGGCAGCTCTAGATTCTGCCTTATCGGACTCCATCTCACTTAACTTGGCCTGAATGTCGCCCAAAGTAACGTCAAGTCCGTCCTTCTCTTTGTCTAGACGGCCGGCATCCTTGGAGGTATCGGCTAACTTTGCCCTCTCAGTCTCCAATGCCGTGAGCTGCTTCGAGATCTTCTCCTGCTCCGCCAGCAAATGCTTCCGCCAGACATCGGCATCGAGCACCGCTTGAAGGGCGGGTGTATCATCTCCAGTGATCTCTTGCTCGACGTGAAGGATGGAGATGTGAGTGGGGATGGCGACTTCTCGGCGGCTCAGAGCTCGGAGAAGAGTAGATTTACCGATACCGTTCTGACCGACCAAACCGTACCTCCGACCGTAGGCCAATGTCAGAGAGGTGTCTGTCAGGATACGTTTTCCACCAATTGACACATCGATGCCTTCCACCTTAATATCTTTGCTTTTCGACTGAGCATCGGCGCCAAGCTGAAGAGGGTTGACGGCCATGAAGAACTCTTCATACGATTGCGTGGAGTCTGGCTGATTAAGCAGCCTGGATGCTTCATACTCAACGTTCTTCATAACCTTCTTGTCTTGCTTCGCTCGGATTTTCCGCTCGGCCTTTTCGAGCTTCTTTCTATCGACCTTGGATTCGACTTTTCGAGCATTGGTGGCCTCAAGGTCAACAGCACCACTGGTTAAGCCCAAAGTGGAAGAAATATTCCGTTGCGAGCTGACTTGGATGGTCTGCTCAAGCTTCCTGGCTGTGAACGGCATCTGCCGCCGCTCGGGATCGACGCCATTTGCCTCGCTTAGTCGCGCAATGAATCTTTCAACAAGATTGCGGATAGCCGTTTCGTTCTGCTCAGTGAAGTTCCCCGAAGCGGACACGAGCAGAGATGTCACAGTCTCGAGAGCTTCACCCAGTGGTGACTGAGTAGCTGGATCGTCTTCTGAGACGTAGAGCTTGGATGCATGGCTCAGATATCCCTGTGGGCCCTATTTAGCGAAATGACTTCCGGGAGCGAAGCCATGCAACAAAGCAGTCTTCGATAGCGACGTGCAACAGAAAGGTCACTATCACAATGCAGAAGATGTCAACTTACCACGGAATATTCAGACAGTACGTGGTCAATATTGGGAATTTGAGCCTGAATCTCGGCTTCCATGGTTGCAACGCAACGGGTCCAGAAGTATTTGACAAGGACAGGTGCACAGGTCGAGGCTGGTACGTGCCGTTGATCTTAGATTTTGTGCTAACCAGACCTGCACCTTGATGGACGCCCCCGGATTGGACAAGTGTTCAGTCGATAGACCGGAGATAGACGGAAGATGAAAAGGTGTTATTGATGTGGATGAGGCGTACTCCGTAGTGTGGCTGAAAGTCGCCTGACTGGTGCTTGATGTCTGTTTACTGCTTCAAACTCGAGTTGCCCAATGATCATGCCGGGTGTGACGGCGGTGAGATCCGGGACTACGGCCAGCAATCAGATCACGTAGTACTGTGTATGCATCTGCCTCCAAAGTTGTGCAGCGAAGATACAGTCACGTACACTGTGGATGTGTCGAGGTTTGTCTGGTGCATCAGAAATTTGAACGGCGGAGCCTATCCGAACCGTTCTTGGCAGACTACGACAAATACGTACTAGTGGAAATTTACACACAAACTTTCATTCTCCTAATCGTCAAATCTCCCTCTGAACGCGAGTCACGCTCTGATCAGGCCGGACAGGAGCGGCACAGGTGTTTGTAAGAGCAACGCGTCGGTCTCTGCTTGGTTGCAAGGACATGCTCCTGCAGCGAGTAAGTGGAGAACTAGAAAGCGCTTAGCGAGGACCCCGACTGCAAGACGCACATCTCCAAGCTCAAAATAGATAGTCATGCCACGATCTGGAAAAGACGTCCTTCCACGATCGCTGGTATCCAGAGGGGAGTGCTTCGGTAAAATAACGAGCGTCTTGCAGTAGTCACCAGCGCGGCTGACCGGCATCGATCATGCACATGTGGTGCTGCAAGTGACTGCTCTGGTGGAGGTCTTGCCTGTCATCCCAACAGAAAGCCCACAGGAAGACCTGCAGAAACACGACCAGGCGTTTTATGCCACTCCTGCCACAGAGTTGTCCTGCAAAAGGTCGCAAGACGTCAGCTAAGCCGTTGTACGTCCAACGAGCGTATGCGTCGAAGAAACCCTGGCATTGGTTTCCGAGCCTGTGGGTATCGAATGACACGTTAGACGCACGGATTTCCTCTTGCAGTAGACAGACCTTAACCTTCTTGGAAGTGGTCTTGCGATGCCCGACTCCCTCAGTCCCGCCTTTTGATGTCAAGCTTCAGCTGGGAAGCACTGGCCTGCGAGAACCCCGCACAAGACCCGTGTCTCTGCCACAGGGTTCTTGTGGAGGGTTGGCAGCGACTGTGTCAGACACAGCTGAGGCAGAGTTGAAGCAGCTCAAGTTTTGCTGGCTATAGGCATGAAGCCTTCACAGTGATGGTTGTACTCCGTAGAATTCAAGACTATCAAGCTGGGCGTGGAGGCATTCTTTCCAGAGCCTTACGAAAGCTGCCTGGCCTGCTCCATTGGCCAGTTGTCAAAGGTTGCCCGGCAGTCTGGCTACTGACAGGTCTGCAAGGGAGGTGGCCTCGTTCATTCATATCGATGCGTAACCAGGCCTTGCTATTCTCCAACTGCCTAGGACATTCTCACCGCCAGTGGACGATCAATCAGCGGCCACGGTCTTCCACGCTTCCTCCACCTCTTGACTTCCATCGTCTGACCTCTGGTCACGTCTTCCGAGGCTGATGTATGACACGGGTACATGTTGAAAGCAGCTTCGACGCTCATCACTGGCCCCGGGTCGTGCAGGGAGCTAAGTACCCCAGTAGCCGGTTGGCCTCACATTTGTATCATCAATGCCCGTTCGAGCTAGAGCGGCTGGCACGCGACGCGAGATCTTACTTTGTGTGTATCAACACGCAGATTCCGTCATACGTGAAGCCAGCCTATCAGGGCGCCCATAGCCACCTTTGTGAAGAGCCGGCCTCCACCCGGATCAGCCACGGCCAGTGTCCCTTGATTAGGCGAGACGATTCGGCTGTGCGAGAGTTTCGAACGAGCTTCCATCCGCGCCTTATCCCCGCTTGACCTTGATGGGCATTGAAGCGACCGACAACAGACGGCCACTTTTCCGGATCTACAAACTTGATTTCCATATGCACATGTGAGACAACTGTTGGCATAGCCGCATGTGCCGTGCAAGCGTCGACTCTTCGAGGCTAGAAGATCTCGACCGCCAGAATGTGGTGGGCAAGCGTGGCTAGCTGGTTGTCGAATGGCGATATCAAGCCGAGAGGATCCATGCTGGACTTTCTCATCCGATTGAGCAGCCATTTACGTACACCCTGGCCTTGTTTTCCAGGTTTATGATCGCGTTTCACGCGCTGGACCCTCGCTAACGCACTTTAAACTCGCTACTTGCTTGAACCACCTGTCTCATGCGTTCGCTGGTGGACTTTCAGCTCCAAAGCTTGCTTTTTCGGCATCTCCAGATGCTCTCCGACTTGTTGCGCGTGCCCTTTCTGCCACAGAAACAGCTGGACACCCCGAAACGGCTCGGTGCTGAACGACTGAGCGTCTTCCCCTCTGCAACTGAGGTTCCCGAAACCTCAAACCAGAGGAAAGTGACCAGGGTGATGCCTGTGGCTTCAACGGGTCGCCTGCTCTCAAAAAGGCAGCTCCTGAAGCAGACTTCTCACACGCGTCAGAGAGCCTGTACGAGGACACTCCCCTCTTCGCTAGGGACCACGGATATACCTTTTACTGGGATACCTGGTCTATTTCCCACCGTTTGCGGAGTCTTTGTGCCGGCGGACGCCAGGGTATCACACCATTGTGGTTGCTTGTAACGGTATGAACGCGAGTGCCGCCACATCCACGGACTCTTTTCCCATCGACACGCAAGCAGCAGAGATCAACAACAGCAACTTGTGGGTGCAGGACGGCTTTGTGCCGCGGCAAGCACCATGTAAGTTAGTGAGCCGAGCGAGTTAGTTCTTCAGTATCCTACTGTGCGGGCCTCTCCTTCCTGCTTGCTCGAACTGTTACAGGATGTTCGATTCAACAGAAATGCCATTCACAACCTTCTCGAGGGTAGACCAGTAGCACCGCGTTTGTTTGACCAGGCGCTGAGCAACGATGCCGCCTAATAATGTAGCAGCTGCGGTTACAGTGACTGTAGATTGCCGCGGAATGATTTGTGAACGCGAAGCTGCAATCATAGTGTCGTCCCACCTCTGACGAAATGCACTCTGGTCTCGAGTTTAACGCACTGACAGCTGATTAAGACGCCATGGACGTATCTGGTCGGGAACTATGTTGCCCTGTGCTCCCGAGTCCCCTCAACAGAACCGGCTGGAAATCCCCTAGGATGAGCAGCATCGGCTTCTCAAACGTCCTGACAGGCCTACCAAGAAGCGGGCGCATATGTGGCTGCGATTGACATGCGTAGCTTGAACGCTCTACCCGCCTGCAGCAGCAGGATGTCACCTTGCTGAACACAAAGAAGATATTGGCACAACAGAAGAAGCAGTAGAGACGAGCACAGTACCGGCCGTTACAGGTCTCGTCTTTGTAAAGTAATACAATTCTCTCGTTTTCAGGCCCCATAATAAGCCATGTTGAAGGAGCGACCAGGCAAGGCGGTTCGCAGCTCTCAAGTTGAAATCCAACCACGGGCCAAGACAGCCTTACCCAGTCCAGCGCTGAGGGATGGTGGTTACCTCTAACTCCCAGGTAGCACTCCGTATGGTGGATCGCGTATCTGGGGTGGCCCTGGTGCTTGCTTGCCAATAGCCACACCCCAAACTTTCCATCCACAAGCACCTAACATCTATCACTGACTCCCAGCTGAGATTCCTCAGTCCCTCCTTTACCATCTCCTCAGACCTCATTCTTCAGCTTGTGACCTTTTTGTGCTTTTGTGCGTTTCTTGCATCTCTTGCGTTTCTACTCTCACGGCATACAGCCTTAATCGGCCAGCTCCACCTGTGTTCGCATCCTGGCCCGACCCATTCCAAACCCGTCGCGTGTGCTCGCCCGATTTGTAGCCCGCGTCCACTACAAGCCTGTACCCCTTGCGCCCACCACACGTCTTCTAGAACAGCCACGCAGTCGACCAGGACAACAGCTCATTGCCACGCCTGCTCACCGATCTCTTCGTCTCCTGCCGCTGTTACTGATGGTGAATCCGCCATGAGGACGTTCCGTACCAGCGGCCTCCAGAGGATCTGGGTAGCGGTGCCTCGAGGGCTTTTGGCTCGTCACGCATGATGGAATCAAGACAGGAGCACATTGCTACGGTAAGTGCGAGATTCTTTTCCCCCTCTCGAAGCAGTTACTGATCCTTGGGGCTAGCTCTGTGCAGTTGGTACCTTGGGCATTGCCGCCGCCGGCTTAGCTTTAGGTACATCTGAAGGAGATACATATCTGATCAAGCCCGGCAAGAGAAAGGCTCCTGGTACAAATGCTGCCACATATTCACCTATCTCTCCCCAGCTACCGCGTCCTCAGACCTCAGACCTCGACGCACCAGCCCCAGCATTATCCGAGCGAATCGAACGCCGGCTGTCAACCTCTATTCTGCGACGGAAAATTACCACTCCCTCGGCGGCCACGCAGAGCACAGGCACGGGCTCGCGTGAGAGTTCGATCAGCAGGTACGGGATATTGAGACCTTGGACGTCCGGCGAGAGGGACACGTCAACAGAAGAGAAAGAGCAGAGGCCCAATCAAGGTCAGACCTGGTTAAGACGGATCTCGAGTCTCTCTCGTCCCACTCGGAGCAGCCCTACATCGTCCTCGTCTAGGCTTGACGTCTCCCCAGCTCCCTCGCGTCCTTCCATGAACGATCAGGACCAACCTAATAAGCTTGTCAAGCGCTCGTCATCTAAGCGTGTTCTCACTAGTGACGGTACCACTCGCCCGCCGGCTCTTTTAAGGCGTCCGGCTACAAGCCATCAAAGGTCAGCAACGTTGTCTGGCTTACCTTATACTCGACCCTTGACTACCGAGTCTACGTTCCCGGAATTGCCTGAATACATTTCTCAGGAGTCCACCTGGAGACCTTTCTTCGAGACGGGCTACTCCAGGAAGAGGCATTCGTCTGGCTTCCATCGGGAAGGCATTGCCCGGACAGTTTCGATCCCGGAAGGTCGCCCGCCGACGTTACTTCTCGGAGGAGCTGTAGAACCCCGAGACATCGCGGACATGGACGACCGACCTGAGCTGCCGACTGAAATCCCGCCCTCCCCACCAACTCGACGGCACAAGATGCGGCGGACACTGGGTTCGGTACGGAAAGGCATGCCTCCCCGCCATTTCACCGACCCGATAGTAAGGCTGAACAAAGACGAAGCCTACGGGAACATTGTTCCCTCGACTGCCTTCTCAAATATATCACCCATGTCGAACATCTCCACCTTCGAGATCGATCTACCTCATGGAACCCCCATGTTCACTTCAACGCCTCCCTCGTACGGCCCTCCACAACACCGTTTCACCATCCCGAAACGCATCTCTGTTGCTCCTTCGGACCCCACAACCGCCAGCTCCGACAATGACACTAGAGTATTCACCGACGACGACTCTATGGATTTTCACAGCGATACAGCGTACGACTCTTTGGCCACCCGAGCCACAGCAAGTAGTCATTCCGGCTTCCGTCAACCTAAAATAGAAACGATATTTGATGAGATGTCTGTGGATCAGCAGCCCGTGCAGACAAACAGCATCGAACAATTGATGCAACGGGCAACCCTGGACGACGATGTGCAGTCCATCTCACAAGAAGGAGCAAGCGGACCAAGTACGATTGGCATGGGTATTCATGGTCTCGAAAGCAACGAGCACATGCAAGGCCTCAGCCCCAACCAGGCTTCCACTCCAGTCAAAAGCCCCACGATGGATGGGGAGGATTCCGTTTCAACTCCTGTGCCAAGGAAGGCTCCTCGTGACTTGGCCACCTTGAATTCTTCTCCACCAACGGCCCATCTGTTTCTAGGATTGCAACATGGGGAACCAGAGCTTCCAAGTATGATGGACGTGGACGTCGAAGACGATATAGACTGGTCGCCGAAGTCGGATAGACTCAGACAAGATGTTGCAACTAATGTGGCGTCGAGTCCTCTGCAGCGTCGATTCGAACGTGTCTCAGAGGACGACTTTGATGAACAACAGTCTACTCAGAGGTCATCAATCTTCGACTGGTCAGAACACCCCAAGTTTGGTAGTGACCAGTCCAATGGCATCAGTCCACGTCCTCAAACAGTGCACGGGAAACATGGCGCACATGTCGGGCGGAGTCGAGCCTCTGGACGGAAAACCAATGCAGCCATGCACCTGCGCAGCCAGAGCGTACCGGTCAATCGAGACACTTCCACCGAGACCGACACGCCATCATCGGCCACCAAATTCGGTACATGGGCTCTCGGGAGCAAGCCTGTCAGCGAGGAATGGAGCGATGATTTTGAGTTTGACGATGCCGAAGAGATCCCGGAAGCTCTGGCGCCAAAAGATGAAGAGAAGGCGAAGAATCGGGAGTCAATCCGAAGTGTTAAAGTGCCCCAGTCCATCATAGACCGTCAGCAGAGTGTACACATGCAATTTGGTCAGGTTCGGGATTTCATGCTCTTGGTCGAAGAGCTTAAGAGGCTTCGCATCCGTGGCGCCGATCTAGGCCTACTGGGAGGCTACTCACGACAGTTATGGGAAGACGCAGAAAGCATCATCGACCTCGCTACTGTCAATGAGGATGACGATGGTTTCCCCCGGCCACCTTCGCCGGTATCGTCTGATATCTTTGGGGACGAGACACCACCGCCTAAAAGAAGCGCCGAAGACGATCTCGGACGGACGATTAATCGACGTTCCATCTCCAGCCCGGCAACACCTCCCTTCGGACGACCACGGGGAGAAAGCTTGCAAACTAAGAGCTTTCTGCAGGCCATCCATCACAACCGAAGTGCGGTGGAGTCGTCACCCGTGGAGCGGGCAACACCTTCGCATGATCGTGATAAGCTGCCTTTCGACACGCAAGATCTCAGAGATCTCGTGGTCAGAGCAGGAGTGATCACTCGAGCGCTGAAGGAGATTGTGCGGAAAGCCGAAGGGGTGTCTCTGAGCCCTGAACGGCCGGTGCATAAATTTCAAGAGCCGGTATTCCGGCACATTTTCGATCCGCCGAACTCGTCTCCCAGTCCAGGAGTGAGAAAGCCTGGTCTGCCCAAGAGCAGGAGTGCGAATAGCTATCTTGACGTGGCTAGCACATCTTCCGACCACGATCGTCCCCAGCCGTTGACCTTTACCACGGTTGTGGAAGCTAATTGAAGGGCCTGCGCGATCCACGAGATTTCCTTTTTTTTCTTGTGCAGCATTGTACAGTACGAAGGCACGGAGTTTACGAATGAGCTCGGGATTTGGACTTGGATGCATGGGACGGCGCAAGTCGTTTTCAGCATTGTATTGGGACGGAGCATTGGAAACCAAAAGCAGAAAGTGGGAAAGGCACGAAGACTTTTTGTAATAAACGGGCAAACAAATGCATGGCACCACGCGCGCGTCGTGTCAGCATTGTGATGGGTATGCACTGTTGACGGCATTTTCACGATTCTCATGGAGGAGTTTGACTGTCGAAGTGAACTCTTGTGCAAAAAATAAGGGAGGGGTTCTTGTTCCTGCTCGTCGTGCTGCAGATTTCCGTACACAATGCGTTGAGGCTGAAGAAAGCAAAGAGAGGTAAACATGGCAACAAGCAGTACACAAGTAGCATTGGACCATTGCGTGGGTCATGCAAGGATGAATTGACGGGCGAGGTGTAGCGACTCAATTACCAACTTGTATTCAATCCTTGCGCTTGCAGTCCCGTGACTAGCTGCGACCGACCCATGGTGAAGCGCGCAAATCAGCCGGTGGCATCAAGCACTGTAGCCGAGTCATGGCTGAGCGGTGGACAGAAGGGATGTTGAGCCGCCGTTGAACTCGGACACTCGCTCTGCTCCCTGCGCTGCGTCAGTGCCGCTTCTCCGACCCTCTGAAGCTGCAGCTCCAAAAACGCTTGGCGGTGTCAGAGACGACTCACCCAAACCTCACCTCTCGATCAGACCCGCGACTCAGCTCGGTCATCGTTCCGCCATCCTTCACACCCAGAACGACTCTTCAGCCGCGCGATCAGGTCAAACACGTCCCTCAGCTCTTGCGTTGCTCGGATCGACCTCGTCCGATCTCCGTGGCGCCGTACCCAACACACTGCTGCACCCACACCGCGATCACTACAGCACAAGCCAGGATGTTCAACCGGATACCATCGCGCCTGGCGCGCCCTGCTTCCGTCCTCGCTCGTCCCACGCCTTCAAGCTCGCGCGTAGCCTTGGCTCGCACCTCAATCCGCACTGCCGCCACCGCTCACAACGAACACCGTGGTGATGACTCCCACGGCCACCACGCGAGCGGACACGACGACCACTTTGACGCTCCGTCAGGGTGGCTTTGGGGCATTCGACCGGGAGAGAAATATGAAAAGGAAGGTTGGGAAGGTCTGGCGTGGGTGTTTGTTGCCAGCTGGGTGGTCGCTATTGCAGCGTATACGATGAAAGAGGACACTTCGTACGTTTTTCACCCTCTTCTTTACCTACACTTGCGACTTCGATCAGTGGGCAAGCTATTCCCGGAAGCTCGTGGAAAGACACTTGACATTTGGACTGTCACCACCCCTCGCTAACATTGAGTCTCTAGGATACAGACATGGGCCCTCGAAGAGGCTCGCCGAAGACTAGAGAAGGAAGGGTTCTACGAAGACAAATAGAGGGACACGACAAGGGCCGCAGCCCTTTGACTCGGGAGGATAAGACTTGCCAATCGTCACGAGCTGGCACAATCCTATGTTTGACGGCGTTCTTGGAGTTTCATTTGCATTGATAGAGCCCAGCCAAGTCATGCCGCGCGCGACGGTGCGGGACCCAATATCCCGTCTGAGTGGAGCGGGTCAGACTTGAAAGGTGCCGTCGAAGACCCAGGAGTGAATGGTTGATACAGGCAGCATACAGGACAGTATCCATAACCGAGCTGAGCCCCGACACAGAGAGGGAACTTACCTACTCCGGCCTGTTTCCATGCTATTTACATAACTTGGCTGGAGGGGATTCTGGCGTAGATGGACATGGACTGTGGATCGTCTTCTCGTTCTAACGTTTAAACCGCAGAGCCGAGGTTTCCATACTTTCGTCAAGGACGAGGACGGCGTGGTTCTCGAGATCGAGCTACATCGAGCTCACATGGTACGAGGTAGCTCCCGTGGCGCACCTCGCGTCCTATAGGTTTCTGTAAAATCTGCCTTGTTGAGAACACAGTATCAAGAATGCGTGCCTCGTCGGAAAACACTCGTAGTAGTAGGAAACACCACTCTGACGAAGTCGTGAAGCGGATTGAAAACAAAGCCAAACGGTGGTGGCCGTAAAGAGGAAACTACACAGCACAACTGGCGATGCTGCGATACCACCTTCCTCCCTTCTTCAATCCAACCTCGCATGGTCTTCGTCTGTAGGCATCCGCTGTCTAGGTAAGTACTCCATATCAAGGCCTATGTCCACTGGGCTGCGCTTCTCCTGGATTTATTCTCAGTGGTCTCTGTTGGTCGGTGGCGGCGGGCACGGAATCTTGCGCTTCGGACGAGTGCAGTGCGGTGGGGGACGGCGCCAACGGTACGTACCGCCTACAGTAGCATTTCATTCATTCACTTACGGAGTACATATTTCTACGGTCTGCCCGGCCCGGACGCCTAGCATTACATTCATTCACTTACGTACTTCTACGGGTCTCAGGTCCTGGTTGCAGGACTCGTGGCAGATGGAATGGTGGCGAAGTTGAGATTAGCAGATGCGCTCAGGATGTCCTCGCTCCCCGTCGGACCGTCGCGTTGAAAGGAATACTAGAACGGCCCCTAGAGGCAGATCCGAATCGACGTTACGTTTCTACGAAACGAACAAACAAGATTAGCCCTGATGTAGACAAGGTTGCTTTCATTCGACGAGGCGAGAGAAGCTGCAAAGAACGGACAGAGAATCAATCCGATGGCCACGTCGTCCTGACTGCCCCTGAGCCGGTCTAGTGTTTAAAGGAAAGTCGAACTACTGATTACCAAGAGAAAAAACATAAGCGATGGCGACTCAGACACCGATCGGTATGGACTTCTGAAGGATTTACATCTATCTACCTTGACGTTGGCGATCAAGCATTCAAATAGGGGAATTCTTCCATCATGTAAGTGATCGGGAAGAAGATCGCGCGAGAGAGTGGAAATAACAGCTGACTCACTGAGCAGAAGACGATCAAACAGATACCTAGACTTAGCACGGGATGAAATGCCAACTCTGCTGGGAAAACGAGATCCTTCTATTGATACTGTATCTTTTCCTAGTACGCACTGACCAAAATCCGTCTTTTACTCTGCAGATGAGGCTTGCAACGTGGGACTTTTCCCTGAAAAATACGCTCGAGGACAACGGATTTGGCGTTGCACAGCGATAGCACAGACGAGCCGGACACAAAACCATCAGGCCCAACCAATCTTTCCGCAGGGTCAATGCAAGAAGACATCTACCCCGACCTCGTTGCTCCAGCCTGGCTCTAGCTCCGTCTCCTCCCAGGCTTTGCCGACGTCGATGACGAGAACTCCGCTTCCTGCAGGGCAATGCTCGATCTCGAAGCCGACCACGTGCTGAGGCACGGCTCGTCCTTGAATGATGACCATCATGTCCTCGATCTTGCGCTGCCGGGACTGAACGTCCGAGAGCCAAATGCCCAGCAGTCCAAAAGCCTTGAGCTGGACGTGGATTTTCAGGCGAGGTGAAACCCTCTCGGACGCGACTTCGTCGAGGTTGAAATTCGACTCGACGATCGCCGCGGCACCTGTGAATTGGCCTAGAAGACCTAGCACGGCGACGCCGAGGTCCGAGTCCGACGCGGGCAGACGGAAGGTGTGCACGGGCAGCGCCGTCCAGACATCGTAGCCACGTATGGGCAGCGTGCACTGAAGCAGATTGTCGGGTTTGATGGGATCAGAGGGGGCGATCGGTGGCGTGATCCGCTTAGAGATATGCGAGCGGACGATCCACTTGTCCTTCGAGACCTCTGTATTGCCGGTTGAGGAGGCAGGAGCATTGACGCCGGGGAACTTCGTGATGGGCAGGATGAAGCTGGTTTCGGATTCGGCGATGTTGAAGACGCCGAGGAACGAAGATCCAACGTCGGATTTACCATCGTAGGCTCCGATCTTGAGCACGCCCTTTTCGTCGTACTTGTCGTACACACCCATGGTCTTTCCCACACAGCTGGGTCGCAGGATGACCGTTTGTCCCCTGGGACTCAGCGCCGTCATTTGCTGGATGAGCCCGACGTCGTGCTCGCCCGGTGTGTCGGTGATGTAGATTGGTCCTCCAGAGACGCAACGTGCGGCGGCATGGAAGCCACTATATGGATGACTGGACTGGAACATGTCCCAGTCGGGCAGGATATTGAGATGCTGGGTGAACAGGGCGTTGTGGGCATTGACGAAGATATGCCACGCGTGCGACGTAGGCACGTTTGGGAAGAAATCGTCGCTGTTGCGGAGCAGAATTCGGGGAGTTGTGGTCGGCAGAAAGCTGTGGAAGAGGATCTGGGGCAGCATGGACATGCACGAGATGGCCTTTCCGGAGAGGTGGCGTAGGTGTGCCTGTGTCCACGCCGACTGGTAGGTATTCGTAAAGGATCGTCGGTCAGGGGTGTCGTTGAGGAGGTCTAGTGCGAACTGGACGTCTGTTTTCACGCCCGTGACGCCTGCGTTCGACAGGAAGCGATAAAAGTCGTCGTACATCCTGTGGATGTCGTCTGGGTGAACCACCAATTTGCGCCCGGCCATGGGAGTTCCTTCGCGGAATGTAACCTCCTGCGTCTGGTACGTCTGTGCGATCTTGCCATCTGCAGACACGCAGCCCCAATAGCCCATCAGTGCGTGCCAGACCGCAATATCACGAATCTTCGGGTGGGTCTCTCTGATCTTGTCGACTGCTGCTTTCAGGCCTTCCGGGAAGCCCAGGGGGTTGGCTTCAAAGTCCGTCCAGCCCCGTTGGAATTGATTTGTTTCTCCTTGGGTGCCATCGAGGGATTGCCAGTTGTCATCAATGATCAAAGTCGAGATGTATATCTTGTGCCGAGCCAGCGAGTCCAGTCCGGCCATGATCTTCTGTGCATTCAGATCCTGGCCCAGAGAGTTCCAGGTACAATAGGCAAGGCTGTCATACCAACTACCCAGCCACTGCGGAGTCAACGTCGGGTCGTTGGCGGGATGTCTCTCGTGATTGACAAGCACCGTGTCTGAATCCAGGGACTCCGATCGGATGCTTCTGGGTAATCGCTCGAGCTGTTCAAGCGCCTGGTGGTATGCCTTGGACTGGCGGACCAGTTTGCGCATTTCGTACATGACGGCGGCATTTGCGATCTCGAATTTCCAAGCAGAGGCCGCCAGGATTTTGTACTTGCGATCCCGCCCTGTATCGTTCCTGGCCCGAACCGCAATTGCCCCGTCGTGCGTGGATGTAAATTCTGTCAAGGCCTCATCGATGCCGTTCACCGCCAGCAGGACGACATGAAGACCATCGGAGCGGAGGAAGGACAGCAGGATGGCTGGTTCAGACAGGTGAAGTCGATTTTCACCGTGTCTGGGGGCAAACCAAGGCTCCCATATCCGGACCAGGGCAAGCCAGCGACACACTTGAGTTACGCGACCAAGGACAAGTGATTCTGCCGTCGCGTTGCCGGCGGCTGGGGTCGGTATCGGGTGGGCTGATTCGATGGTGTATAATCGAGCTTCGGGTGCATCGCTTGGCGTCTTTCGCAATGTCCAACCTTCCTCGACCTCCACCGGGGATGCGCCGAGGAAGTTAGGGTCAATCGGAGGCTGTAGAATGAGTTCACCATCTTTGATGCCGAAGTTGTGGTACACCCACGACCATTCCGCGTTTGGATCGACTCGGAACCGGACTGTGAAAGGCACTCTCCGACCCTTGTACGTCCGGCCAAACGACACGAAAGGGCTCTCGAGGTCTCCGGAAAAGGTATACCGGTAGTTGTCAGCTTGGGTGTCGTCGTAAAGAACCGCTGGAGTGGTGTGCTCGAGCTTCAGATCCAGAGCCTGCCACGGCGACTTGATCCCCGCGTAGCTCCCGTGGTCATACCATATCGAAACCTCCCACGGTCTTTCGGGCAATGATCTTGATGATTCGAGGACGACGGTGAAATTGAACTACGGACGGGTTAGCGTGATGAACAAGGAGGGTCTGTCCAGACGTCATTCTCATGCAAGAAAGTCCGTCGAGCGGTCCGGCGCTGCCACATGCTCGCCCACGCTCAGAAGTCAGAACAGCAGGGCGGATACTCACCTTGTCTCTTGTAGGAGAAACCACCGTGACTTGGGCCAGAGGAGGATAGGTCGCAAGCTTTGCAAAGAGCGCCATTTGCGCCGGGCGATAGAATTTTATCTGAGTTGGCTTGGAAGGAGTGTCGTCGACAGGAGGGAAAGGGGAAGGAGAGAAAGAATTAGAGAGCGACATGCGAGCAAAGGTTCATGACAAAGACTGGGGAGTGATACTCCAGGATACGTCTTTGTGGCGTTGGATTGTGTTTGTGTTTGCGTGGATGAGAAGGCGATGAAATCGCGGGTATTGCAAGTCCAGCGCGCGGTTCAAGATGCCCGCCGTGGAGGTTGTTCTAGGTCCGCCGACGGCATGAAGAGAACGAATAGCGGCTGGGTGATTGGGTGGATAGACAGATGCGAACCATATGGTGCCACAGTGCTTGACCGGGACGCAGAATGTGCAGACAGTTGGTGTGGTTGGTTCGACACACTGGTCGCAGCAAGGGTTGTGTGGTTAGTTTGCAGTGAACTGGTTCAAGTGTCCCAGGCACGGCCGGCAACATCATAGACGGCTTGGTTCGACGCACAATGACATCGTCCGGACCAGAGCGAAGTCCCTGGCGGATGCTAGTCCCGTCTTACTCTGTGCGGCGGAGTGGACAAGAGGAATGGTGGAACAGTTCTAGGCACACGTTGGCTGTCGAGCGACGATCACGACGGCCGACGGCTCACTTAATCCGAATTCCGAGATGCTCTTCAAGGTTTGTGTCGGCCGGAACTCGCGAGGGCTTCGAGGCTTCTCATCATTACTCGAACGCTCTGCCGGCGAACCACCGTGTTATAATGACTCTCACCCCCGATACTCCAAGAGTGCGTCTAGAAGAGGACCAGCAGACAAGAGGACCGGCGGCAGCTGGGGAGGCAGGCTATCCATAGAAAGCGAAACCGGCACATGCTACAGTGGCTTCCTATTGCGCAAGATTGATTCCGATCAGGCACAAGTCCCCCTGGTCGGTGGCCGCCTCCAACGTCGCGCGTGTGGATTGGCTTACAACGGCGAGCGCAGGGATTTTGCTTCGGTCGAATGCCTAAGCTTGCTACGGTCGGGTAGCAGTACATAAGCTGCTCTGGTTCATCCACATCAACTACCAGTACCGATATCGTCGCGACCCAATAGAGCTAAACCCAGGTGATCCCCTCCCCCTTTATCGACGAGCCGAGTCGATGCTTCACTCCTCATATGCCATACCAGTCCTTCAATTCGTCGTCGTCTGATGCAGAATCGCTGCCAAGGTCCACGCCGCTGTCCACAAACCCAGTCTCCGTGCCATCCGCGCCCACATGGCTCCTTTCGCGTGGCAATCGATGCACCAGATATTCCACCGGGGCCCGCTGTTTCTTGCTCATCACTTCCTTCATGTACTCTTGGACTGCCGGTAGTGTCTTTGCGGCTTTGGCGATCGTCTGGATGATTTTGTGATCTCGCGCTTTAACCGTCATGGTCACTGGCTGATAATATTCCTGGTCTGCTTGCCATTTGCCTTCCGTCTCACCCTTGCCTGCAGACGGCTCAGCGCCGGCCCGGGACATGATCTGCGAACCTTGCAGTTCTACCAAGAAGGAGCAGATCATGTCTAGTCCATTCGGCCGCATGTCCAGCACTGCATGTTCGGGAAACAGCCATCTGTCTGGACAAGCAGCCAGACCCCCTGCTGGCACACTGGTAAATTCCAGGACAATGTGCTTGATGAAAGACTCTGGTCGGCCTGGGGGTGGAGCAGGATACCCAACATAGCCAGCGAGTGGACCCCCCCGACCAACCGGCGCAGGTGGATTTGGAAACGTATGCACGACTCCGGGTAATGCCCCTGGTGCCGGCGGTGGGCCTGCAGGTGTGGCAGCCGGGGCTGACTGACGTGGCTGCATCTGAGGAGCATTTTGCACGGCAGGTTGTGTCAGTGGCATGGTAGCTGCTGGTGCAGCTGGTGAACTCGGTGTAGCGGGCTTGGATGGCATATCGGGTGAAGGTTGAGAGGCTTCCGGTACAGGCTTAGTCGACGACGGCTGGCTAGGTGGTCCTTCTTTCTTAGCGACTCGCGCAGCTTCCTGCCGCCGAATCACTTCGTTGAACTCGTCAATGTGGGACTGGAACTCCTTCAGCTGTTCCGGCGACGCCCTGGAAGTAGCCACAATCTTCATCAACTCCTTCAACTGTGGATCCGACGCGGCGCGGGCAGCAAGCATCTGGATCACGGGATCTTGTGTACTTCCTTTCGCGGGTGCTGCTGGACTGGGCTTTGGACCAGGTTGTGGCGCTTGATTTTGCCCCGCATTTGGCGTCTGTGCTGCTGGAAGGCCAGCAGATGTAGGGTGAGCCTTATCTTCATGTTTGCCTGGGCCTTCAAGAGCGCCATCCTCAGTGGGCTTTGGGGGTGTAGGCCGTTGTGTAGGCGCAGACTGCGCAGGAATCGGAGGCACGGTGGCCGAAGGGCGATTGGAAACTGTTGGCGGGGTCTGGGGCTGTTGGTATGGGGCCTGGGGAGGGAGGCCTGTATATGGCGGAGGGTGCCCCGGAGGGCCCATCTGTTTGACGGTGTGCTGATTTGCATGGCGTTGGTAGGGCGGAGGTACCGTAGCATCCTTGACCGCGTAAAAGATAACATCAAAGGTATGAGGTTCGACAATTATTGTGGCAGGACCTAAGCGCTGCATTGACTTGACATCTGGGTTATTAGGAGGCACTTCGACGCCCTTCCTCTTCTTGACATAGTACTTCTGGAAGATGCCATTGTACAGCCATTGTATGCGGGATTGGTACAAGGAGGCGGCCAAAATGGTGCTCTCAGCAATAGATTGGTACTCCTTCACGGACAGCTTCGAAGGCTGCTTTTCTTTCGTCGCAGGCAACGGCTTGTGCGCCATAACGCGGGTTGGCAAGGCATCTCCGGAGGTCGAGACTGACGGCGATGAGCGTGAACCGGAGGCAGGAGTCTGAGCTTGAATCAAGCTGGCCCGCTTCTTATACGGCCCGCGTGTGTACCCTGTCTTTCGGCCAGGAGCAGGCGTTGAGGCGGCCGTGGATGGTTTCTGGTCGGCGGGAGTGGACGTGCTCGATGGAGGTTGCGCCGGCGACAACGCTCTTCGCTTCGCTGCAGATTCCCGTCGCTCTCGGGCGGGAAGTGTCCGCTTCTGGGGAGTCACGTCGGCCATTGTCAACCGACAGTGAACTCTCTTGCCTCAGTGGCTGGCGGGAGGATTGAAATCGAAGTACAATTACTTCGTTGTTGCAGCGGACACACCTGGTCGAAGATATTTCCGACGGGAAGGTCAGCCGAGGGGCTTTGGATCGCTCACTTCAGTCTCACCCACCGCGACAACTACCCCAACCACATCCAAATACTGGTTTCGTGCGGGTGGACAACAGGTGCCTGGCCCAGATCCTTGATGATGAGTGTGTAAGTTGGCGGGCCTTGTATACCTAAAGAGCCAGAATTGGCCCAGATAACTTACACCTGCTCCCCGGTTCCCCGCCGAGATGGCATTCGACAATCTCTTCCGCAAGGCCTTCTGGGGCCTGGCGGCGTGTGGACTGATATATGCCCTGGCAATGGGTAGCTTGACTGTCCCAGTTGTCCAACGGAATGTGACATATGTTCACAACATCAACCCTACATACTGGCAGGACCTGAACAACACGGAGCAGTTTGGCTTCATCCATCATCAGATTCAGCCTTTCACAATCACCACCTCGGACAATGTCACCCTCTTCGCCTGGCATATTCTACCTACTCATCTGTACTATAAACACGAACGCGCATTGAAAGCTCAGCCCGACTTTGGCTTGAAGCCTTTCCAGGTCGCCTCCCAGAGCGTGGGCTTGCAACTACTCCTGAACGATCCACATGCGACCGCCGTGGTGGCTTTCCATGGGAACGCCGCACATCTTGCTTCCAACTACCGCCCGACTGCATATCAGCAGATGCTCGGGGTATCAACACCAGAGAAACCGGTGCATGTCATTGCCTTCGACTATCGGGGATTTGGGCTCAGTACAGGAAGCCCGACAGAGACCGGTGTGATTCAGGATGCAGTGGCCTTGCTGTCTGCTCTGACCGGCTATTCTGGCGAGACCGGAAGAGAACAGCAGCTGCAAGAACAGCATCTGGATCCATCTCAAATCATACTTGTGGGACAGTCCATGGGAACTTTTATCTCGACAGCCTTTTACCACGAATGGGTGTCGAAGCTGGGCAGGACACCGTTCAAGGCCTTGGTGTTGATTGCCAGCTTCACCTCTTTGCCCAATCTACTCGAATCTTACTCATTCAAAGGACTTACTCCGCCCCTGCTGTCTCCCTTGATGGGATACCCTCGTCTCCAAGACTACTTGCGGTCCAAGATCCAAGACCGATGGGACGCGAGCTCCAGGTTGGCGGAGCTGGCGAAGACGCCCGGTGTAAAGCTGAACCTTGTCATGCTACACGCTCGTAACGATTATGAGATCCCATGGCAAGAGGGCCGCGCGAACTGGGACCACGTGTTGGCGGCCGCGTCGAACGGCAAGACCGACTCCGCCCGAGATTTGAACCATGAGGAGTTCAAGAGTGAGGATGGCAGAAAGCATTTGCGGTGGGAGCGAGTCCGCCATGGAGGACACAACAGGATCCAAACAAGTGAACAGGTCAGACTCAGCATACTGAGATTGGTCGAAGGCGAGGACACAAGCTAGAAGTTAAGAAGACTACAGAGCACGAGGTGGCTGTGTACAGTATCACTATTTGCATGCCGACAGGGACCGTCGACGAAAGACACAATATGGGAGATCTTCCAGACTAAAGCGGTTCCAGCCCGTCGCTCCACAAGCTGAGATTTAGCGGGTGCTGACACGAGATAAACATACCCGTAGATGGTAATTGCCTGTTTGGTAGTCACTGTATATATCACATTGCAGCCTAGTGTTCAACAAGAACAGTTTGATGGCACTGTCGCAATATATGTCGTCCCCCAGTGACCACGTTCGCACTCGATGCCTCATGTCAGGAAATGCCTGCTGCTCGTCAACAAAGCATGAGTGAGTGGTGGTTGACAAGCCAGCCCGCGCCAAGTCTAACTTAGTTAAAGCTGGACGTAGCTCCCGGGCCTGCGATGGGCCCTAAATTAAGTTCCCAAGTGTGCCTATAACCTTCACAACCCTAAACCAGCACGCTGGCTGTCGTTGGACCACGCCCACCAATTAACAGCCAGGCTTACCTAGGCAGTAACCCTGCTGCCCATCGCGTCACCTCCGCCTTGGATTCGATTAATTCACAACGTGGACCGCCATCCATGCGGACAGCGGCCGAGTGATCTTCTGACCCAGAGAATTTACCCGACATAGCGAACGGCTCAAGCCCTCGTTCACGCCACGGAAGCCGTTCGCATTCCTCGACGGCGTCGCGCAGAATACCACACCCCCATCATTTGCTAAGTGCGATGGTTCCGTCTACAATTCCGCGCAGGAAGCTGCGGTAGCCGACCAGTGCACCTGCTTTGATGAGCAGGTGACTGATGTCGACTTCTCTCACACCTCCTGAGGGCCGAGCTGCCGGCGACAAGGTCGGCGATGGGGAACGCCCTGAATCCAATCGCCTGTCCCTGCCTGTCTTTCATTCTGTCCGAGATCCTTCCAATGAGCGAGAGGGTCGAGCCTCCAGGACCTCGTCACCCACTTCGGGGTCGGACAGTCATCGGACTGGCAGGCGCACTCCTGAGCCAGGACACAATGGGTTACTAGAGCGGCTTTCCTTTGGTGGCAGCAGTGCACGGAGCGACCACAGCGGGGAGAAGGAGAAGGAGAAGGAGAAGGAGAAGGAGAAAGAAAACGAGGCTCCCCGTCATAATGTCTTGCGAACCTCAGGCGGGTTTCTTCTCGAGCCCATCTCCAATCCGAAGCGTGTCTCCCGAGCATCGGCCACTCCTTTGCGAAAATCATCGGAAAAGAAAAGAGAGGGCGGCGAGTCCGAATTGACGATCGCAAAGAGAAGGCATAAGACGAATGGCTACTCGAATTCATCCTTCAAAAGTTCTCCGCTAGCGAGCGAAGTCAAGCAGGAACCTGTCATCCACAATTCTCCTAGCCCAGATCAGCTCGTCGCAGGTACCGACGTCCGACGGTCGCTTTCGTCGTCTCAAAATGAGTCTAGATTTACGGGGAGCTCCGCTTCGACGTCCCGTAATGTGACGGCTCACATCACACCAGCGTCCAAGGTCGGCTATGACAACGACCCGGCCCGTATTGTCAACATGGCTCTGAGCCTGAGTGAAGGCCGACGTCGTATGGCCTCAGGAAGAAGATACGTCTCCACTGAACACGGCGACCGTCGCGTTCTCTCCGTTACAGCACCCGTCAACCCAAGCAATACCGTTCGGAGACGAAGCATCGCCCCGTTTATGGCAACAAACCGTCGACTGTCGCAGAGCCGTTCTCCAGGACGCAGGTCTTCGGCTAAGCACCAGGACACTAGTGGAGGCTTGCCAAACCAGCCTCTCGACATGTCTGTGGATGAGCATGAGGACGATCTTGAGCTTGATCCTGGTTTTGCTGATGACGTCTCCCCCGCCACTGCAGCTCGTGTCGAAAAGGCAAAGGTCTATTTTGAGCTCGCCCACGAACATCGACGGCTTCTTTCGCACCTGCCTCCACTTCGGAGACCAGGCACACCAGCACCTCCAGGCGGACCCGAAACGCAACAAAAGGCCTACAATCCCCTACAATACGTCCGCAATCGGAAGTTGCGTATCTGGGAGAAGACTCCGATCAACAGCGAAGCCGAGGGATGGCACGATGTAGAGAAAGTCAGGGCTTGGGTCGATGCCGTGATCTCCAGTCACACCGAAACCCAGCACGACTCCCTAGAATGTGTTCGCTTACCTCCGCTTGATCTACGTACAGTGGAAACTGCTAATGAAGCCGCCGACGGCCCGGAAGAGGAGCCCAAGAGTACAGTGTCGCATCGAACACCCGATCAGCTCCACCCCAAGCCCAGTCGCCCTCGGTCTGACTGGGTCACTCATCCTGCTGATCTGATCGCTGACGCGTATTGGCTGGAGCAAGGCTTGAACAAGACGAAAATACAAGACAGAGACAACAATCTAATCTATCCGCCTGACACGCAGTTCAAATTCTCCGGATGGCGTAATCGTACCCCCGCCGTCGAAGTACCAAGTCGTCTGCAACAGCCATCTCCGCCCCCTGAGACTCACAATGATTCGTTCCGAGACCCGCCCCCGTCTGCCCTGCCCGAGTTACCAACATTCAAGTCGGCTCACCATCTCCACAGGAGTGGCCGCCATGGCCGGCGAAGGGATATCATCCGGGATTCATTGCAACCCAAGGAAGGCAGCAGTTCCCGAGAGCGGTCTCGAATCAGGAAGAAATTATTTCAGGATAGCAGCGATTCTGAATACTCAAGTCTGTCATCAAATGACGAACGTGGTCGTAAAAGACTGCGGCGGAAGAGACAGGAGGCTCCGACGACCGATACTTGGGAAGAACGACGTAGCCATTTGCAATCAAAGCGGCCTTCTCAACCGATTGGAAATGGGCACGGAGACTCGAGTCAAGGCTCCTCGGCGCCCACTTCGAAAAGAGGCTCGATCGATCATTCGGCACTCAACAAGCTGTTCCGGGTAGACAGTTTCAAGAAAGCCTCGCCACTGACTCGGTCTCGAAACAGGCAAGACGGATCGCGACCTCGGTCTGCCGCACAGGGGCCGAACAGATCAAGTCTCGAGCACGAGCCCCAACCACGCGCTTCCACTGATTATGATACCACGACGGCTCCGAATTCTCCGACCAACCTGGAATGGCCAAGTATCGCCATCAACCTCTCGCCGCCTCCCAGCCGACCCGGTTCGCCTGGAAGGAAACCAATCTCCACCATCTTACAGCCGTTCCATCGCAAGTCGCATAAAGAACAAGGGTCGATCAGCACAAATGACTTCGCGCACGTCCCACAGGCGCAATCGAGCCATGATCCAGTGAAGCCCACCAAAGCTGCTGATTCTCGTGGCCAAAGTCCGATGACGCGGGGTGTCAGTCCCTTGTCCAAGAATGGCTCACATTCAGTAGAAGCAGATGACATTGTCCCGCAAACGTCAAATGAGCAAAGGCACAGCGTGGCCAGCAAGGTCAGCACTCGTTCTACTGCGAACGCCGGAGGTGATCATTCAAGACTTCGTGGTATTTTCAAAGGAGGCCGCATTGCAGAAATTGTTGGCAATGAAGTGTCACGAGTAGGGGACTTTATCTGGAAACGTGAGCCTCCTACTTTATACAGGCACAGAGGTTCAGCCTCGGAAGGCAGTATCCGCTCGTTTGCGTCCGATTCGGACAAGGAACATCATCACCAACAGAACGGAACGGTTTTGAAGACTCCGCCACCACTTGCGCGCTCGAGGTCCTCTACCCTTGAAAGCACTCCCAGCGATCAGGTCTCCCCGATTACCACGAAAGCGGGTTCTTCCAATAATGATCGGCCTCGTTACAACAACCCTAACCTGCCAACTTTCACCTCGCCTTTTCAGAGGGATCGCGATCAACAAGAAAAGAAGCAAGGCCTATTGGCCCCAGAAGATGCCCTCATTCGAAAAGACCCTGCTGACAACACGCCCCATCTCACAGTCAGGCCACGGTCGAATTCTCGTTCGCCACGACTTGCCCAGCTGCCGAAACTCGATACCGGCACGCCCAATACGCCCAATGAGTTGAATAGGCAGAATACGTACGGATTCGGTGCCGCGCTCGATCTAAGTCGATCCAGGGATGCTTCAGATCAACTTAACTCCGTCTTAGGTCCTGTCACAGGTCTCACTCGTCTTCGGCCTGTGAAATCTGCGGGTGATGTCTCGAGCGGCGGTGGTTCTCAGGCCGGATTAGAGAACCGCGAGGCTGGAGATGTCACTTGGCGAGACATTGAACGTGCCTATGCCTTGTTGTACACTTCTACAGTCAAAGCCCGAGAGATTGGTCGCCGGGCAGATGATTCCGGGGAGGAGCTTCCAAAGTACCTGTACGAAAGCCTCACAGCGGAGAACAAGGCCTTACATTCAACTAACCCGCTTCGTGTGAGGAAACGAGAACGGCATATTGTCGCAGCCCAGAATATCATGAAGACTCTGGACGGCCATTCCTCGACTTTCAACACTAAACTCCACTCCTTCACCAGTTCTTTGATCCCGGCATTGCACATCCAGCTACAGAGCCTCGAAGACCAAGTCGAAAATACCATGACACCACAGGTCCGTGTGACGGCCGATTCCGCAGGCGAGCTCTCCATGAAACTCTCCACAACCTCGACTCTTGCTGTGAAGGAACTCAACGATACGATCGACGTTGCGTTTCGCCGCAAGCGGAGAGGCCCGATTCGACTTTTCAGGAAAATGTGGTTTGCCGGGATTGAGTGGACGGTGGTGGGGTTGCTGTGGCTAATCTGGGCGGTTGTGAGTGTCATTCAGGCAATACTGGGGGTGGGTAGGTGCCTGATAGGGGGGGCCAGATGGATGTTCTGGCTCGAATGACGCGGAAGGATTTTCCCTTCCTATTGCCGACCAAGGGTTGAGACATTGGGAATAGAAAACGGACCCCGGACTTCTCCAGCATGAAGGATTATCTGTGGAGCACAAGGTGACGCTTGCGTGCGGTGTTGGCTTATCCAGCAAAGGGAGGCACTGGCTGGCAAGCCCACCGGCGCATAGGAATTGAACAAAGCAGAGAGAGAGAGGGAACGGCTCCTCCCTTCGCGGTTTGGTTATTTCAGCCTTGTGGTGTTTTGAACTACTACGCCCGTATACTATATTATATAAGTTTGTAATAGACGCATTGGATGACGACGACATCCACGTGAGAATTGTGAGATGTTCGTCCTGGTGAGAAGCCATGAAGAAGCTGGTGTCGAGGAGAAGTCGTACCGACTCCTTCAACTCTTATGCGCATGAAAGATAGAGTATATATTTTACCCTCCCGAGTCACCCCGGACGGTGTAATCAATCTGTTTTGTCCATGACTTGATGCATAAGATGTTGTCGCGGAGAGCATGGACGAACTCCTGCTCATTAAACACACCCTGTATACTTACTTATACTCGGTACACACTGCAACGGGATCCGTGGATCCACTGCCTGCTGTGGTTGGACACCGAGACCGCAGTGGCAAGGCTGGATTCCGTGAGCTTTAGAACTGAGGGCAACAACCCCGACTCAAGCAAGGACAGGCATGCAGGCGGGGACGTTACAGTAAGTGGTATGGTATGGCGCCCTACAATTTGATATCTCGGGTTGTTTACAGCGCGTAATCGTGGAGGACAAGCTCACGGAGTTTCTAGAATAACGATATACCGAAGACCTTCTGTCTGTCCATGCCGGGTCTGCGTATCTCCACAGAACTTTTACTGTACAGTGCACCTCGATTGCGCAGCGTTCTGCGACTTTTCTTTCTCTTTTTCCAAAGGCCTGCTGTCTCCGTCTGGGGGGGGCGTTCACTTATCCGACCCTCAAGCACTGTAATCGTGCTTCGGTTTCAATAACGTCCAACGCCTGCTGCACCTCGAGCGCTTTCCTAACGTCGCTCAACCAGTCCCTCGACAACACTTTGGCCCACCCTTGCAGGGAATTCATCTCTCTTGCCGCACCGTCGAGATCACCTTCCTCAAGCAAAGTCTCCGTGCGAGTGAGGACGCTTTCCACGTCGGAGCCGGTGGGTTGTCCGCGCTTCTTGAACAGTACATTCGAGAGGACAAGCGAAGCCGCATGTGAAGCGATACCAGCATTCTCAGGTAGCAGGGAAGCTTTCCTTACTTCACTTGCGACGCGACGGAACCGGTCGATCAGCTGTGGTTGTGACGGGATCCCCTTCTGGTATGCAGCAGGGTTAATGCTTGCGATGGCGGCGTCGACGACAGGATCGCCTTCGGCCACAAGTTTCAATGCCGCCATTTCACGCACAAACGCTCTGGGCTTCGCGTCCGAGGCGGCCGAAGCGGCGAGAGAGGAGCGCACGGCATCGACTGCAACTTGGAGTTTCTGTGTTGCCAGGTTGGAATCAATCACGCCATTCCAATTCGAGGTGAGCTCAGTGAGCGAATCCACGTTGGAAGACAGGTCTGAGAGTTTGCTCAATCGTCCCTGGCGCTCGGCTTCCACTAGATCCTTCACTTGCGCGACGAAATCGCGCTTCATCTCGATCGCTTGCTCAGCGAGTTCGTTCTTCAGACGCTGCTCGGCTAGTTCTGTGCTGCGTTGCACTTCAGTCTTTACCTTCTCTTCGTAGACCTGAGCCAGTCGCGCGCGTTCGGTCTCGAATTCTTCACGGTATCGGGCATCATCTTCGGCTTGGGCGGTTTCAATGCGCTTCAGCAGTTGTTTGGCACCTTCATCAAACTCTCTGTGTGCCTGAGCAATGCGCTCTTCGGCCGCCTTGCGCTCTGCATCACGTAAGGCAGTGATCTTGCTGGCGACTTGTTCGAGCGATTCTTTGGCCTTGGCCATTGGTAGGGAATACTTGTTGGCAGCATCGGCGGAGTCAGAGTTTACCACCGTGATCAGATCGTTGACAATCTTCACCAGCTCCTGTACCACAGGCTCATCGGCATTGGGCACGGTTAGAGGCGAGATTTGTGAGACCGGGGGAATGGCAGGCGGCCTTGTATCGGCAGTTGAAGAGGCCGTGGGAGCCTCTGGACTCGTCTCGGGCGAAGGCGGAGGAGAAGGCGGTTTCGCAGAGGTGTCGGCTGATTTGGAAAGCTCCGCGGGTGCGGTCTCTTTTGGTTTTGCTTCCTGTTTGGCTGCGGCGCCCTTCTTTGCAGTCTCGACAGAAATACTCCTCTCTTTGGAAGTCGCCCCTGAAGGGTCTTGTTTCGCATCAGTAGCCTCTTTTGAAGTGACTGGCGCCCCTGCATCGACTGCGCTCATATGCTTGCCCTTTTGGGTGACATCGCTTCCCTTGTCCGGCTCTTCGACCGCTCGCCAGGACAGTCCAGACTTCTCAGGAATGGTGGTGACCTTGTCCTGCCCCTGCGCATCTGATCGAGGCGAGCGCGTTACGTTGTGCCTGGCATTTGGGAACCGCTTCTTGAATGCGCGTTCCTCAAAATACAGAACTGATTCCTCCCCAAACGGAACGTATTCGGTGAAGAAATCGTGGAAGTTGTCGTTTCTCAATGCATAGAAGACAGCCCCTCCATAGCCAAGTGCAGACAGACCGATGAGGTAGAGAAGAAAACGAAAACGGGAGAATCGTTTCCTGGGAGGTGGAGTGGGTTTCTGCGACGGAGGTGGTGGAGGAGACGGTTCAGCTGGGCTAACAGTCGAGGAAGATGTGGGCGGGGCCGTTTGAGTCTTCGCAGGCGGACTAGGGGGTGCCAATGGGACGTTTTGCGGAGGAATAGTTGAGTCGGAGGAAGGTGTAGCAGGTGTTGCAGCGGTGGTGGTTTTGGGAGCTGGTGCACCAGGACCACCAGGGCCCAAGGGGACTTCTGTCTTGACCGGAGCTGATTTGGATTGGCTGCCTGGTAGAAAGGCCGGATCTGAGCTTAACATTGATTCATTCCTCTCTGCGAAGGTCCTCCGCTGTTGGCGACGTGTTAGTCGTCTGTGCTCGGTTCACCATGTTCAAGCGTACCTGGGATAATCCAGCTTGAGCGACCAGCTGCCTGCGCAGGTGTGCGCTGACAGGCCTTGCTAGACGCAGCATCTTGACCTGCGCTGCCCGCGTCCAGGCTCTTGTTCAAACGAGGGTTAAGATCCTAGGGGACATCGACCGTGCTGTTGATTGAAGATTTTGGAGCTGCGCCGCATTTCAGAAGCTCCGGCGTACACATGCTGCTTTAACGCGACTCACGTGACCAGGCTCTAAACGACTGGACAGTCACCTAACAGTCGGCAGCCACAGCAATTGAACTCATCAGACAAGCACTCACTTCGTATCTACTGAGTGCAATGATCGGTATGGCAGTGTCGACGTCTATAATGGATGCTGGCTTTTTGGACTCTAACCCGCAACGCCATGCTAAAGAGCAAACTTCTTGACGACCACCAGCATTCGTACTGTGCATGCTTCATCTCCTTCCACTCGCTTCCAACTTTCTTCGCTTGCTCCGCAGCTTTTCTGCCTGTACGTCACGCTTGTTGTTCGAGTACTGCATCTTTTCGAACAGTTTCCGCTTCTTGTTGCTCATCATCATCTTCTGGCGCTCGATTTCCTCGTCCTTCCTTGTCCGCTCCAGCTGTCGAGCTTTGATGACCTTCGTGTTTTTGTCAGTCCCATTCACGTCGGGTTTCACAGCTCGGCCGGCTGCTTCAGCTTCAAGTTCTTTCTGATGTTGGGCTTCCTCATCAAGGTCAGACGTCTCCTCCGCAGCGTCTTCGAAGCCAGCGAAAACATTTTGATCGTGCTCATCCGAATCAGATTCTTCTTCTGACCCTGCAACATCCATTTCACCAGCGTCGATATCCTCGTCCCCATCCTCGCCATCTTTCTCGCTATGCTCATTGTCCTCAACATCGTCTTCTCCAGCGATGTGACCAGCCTCTTCTGCCAGCTCCTCATCTTCTTCATGTGCAGCGGCTTCGGCCTCGCCTTCTAGCTCCTGCTCTTCTAGAGTTGCTCTTGGATCGTATTGGCCACTCGTGGGTTTGATCCAAGGACTCAGATGAGGAGGTAGAGTTTCTCCAGGCGCGTAGAGATTGGTTGGCAACAGCTTCCCCTCGTTCACGCAGTCCCATATCCATTGTGGCTGGACATAGATCCTGCCCGGCATGATAAACCCAGGCTTGACCATCTGGAGGTTCTGGTCCTTCGTCTCTTCCTGGCCCTGCAAAGTGGGAAGCGGTTGCGCCGGGGCAGGTCTGTCAACAATCTGGTGTGTGATCCTTGGGTCGGTCTCGTCATGCGTGAAGGCTCCTTCGCCGAGCACATTGTCCCAGCCAACTCGCTTGCAGCCAAATGCTCTCAGCAGAAATTCAATGGGGTGGCGGGGTGCTTCGCGGGAGATGAAGAATGTAAAGTCGGAGAAGAGCCGCGCGGCATCTTCAGAGGTCACATCCGGCTGGGGCAGGGTGTCGCCCTCCGGTGCTGCAGGTGTAAATGTATCAATGCCGTTGGTTTCTGGTTGGTCTTCTGGCTGCTCGTCTTGCTCGACTCTCCCATCTGCTGCGGTTTCCCGGGCGATCTTGTCAATTTGAGCCTGCACCACCTCTGTGTTCCCATTCTGTGCATGTCCGTTGCCGATCGTATACTGTTCTTGGCCTTGATCAATGGCGCCGGCCACTTGACGACCCTCGAGAGTGAAGGCTGCCAACTCAGCGCCTCGCTCGTCACTTGCCGTATCAAACTTAGGAGGATATACAAGACCGATTGAGGTGTAGAGCCTGTAATTGACGAAGCCCAGAAGGGTGCAGTAAAACTCCACAAATGTGCCCATTATCCTGTAGTCCACATCTTGAGTCACTCGCTGCACAAATTTGTACGGCACCAGCCACATGATGTCTTGGCCCTGGATGGTCGCCTGATAGTAGATGCCCTTGATCGAAAGGAAGGATTTGCGAAGCGAGTTTGTGGCGATGAGGTAGTGCTCGAATTCGTGGCAGAGACGCTGACAACGAGAAATGACCCTGGCAGGGACTTCAGTGGTTGAGGGCAGGTTGGCAAAGAGGAACAATAGGGAGAGCGCATCATCGAGATCTCTGAGGGCATCGACAAAGGTAGGATATCGTTCTCGCACAATATGGTCCAATTTGATCGTGCGCATGCCATGTTTCTCCAACCGCACTGCATCCTGCACTTCGTTGCGACCAAGCGATCGGGCGATCTTCTTCTCGAGTGCCTTCTGTTCCCGGAATTTGCCCAGTAATGGCTCATGCAGAAGGTACTGGATATCTTTGGTGTAGTAGAAGGTGGTGGAGTGGGTGGCAGACTTGCTTGCTTTTTTGATATTTCTCGGCTCTCGAGGGTAGATGCCTTTGAAAATGCAGAGTCTTCGAAAGTCCGGTAGAGATATCTGGAGTTTGCGCACAGCTTGGGTTCTGGTGATATAGTTCTTTGCCTGGCCGGATTGGCCCTTCTTCTTCTGTTTTCCCATAGCGGACTCTTGCAGCAGGACGGATTGGCACAATTGCAAAGACAGAACAAAATGCTGCGGGAGAAAAAGTTCATGATGTGGAGAAATTCGGCCGCAGTTTTGATCTTTCGCTGATTAGATTAGATGCGATCAGATTCACCTCCACTCCTAGTTCCGGCCACATCAGCCTCGATCAACCTCCTTTTCGCACCTGCATTTCCTACCACCACAAACCATTTCCGATGCGGGCCAGGAAGCCCGGGCTATAACAGCAATGTCGATATCGCTGGACCGCAAGACGGTGGCGATATACGCGGGAGCAGCGCTACTACGACTCCTCGTGTTTGTCGCGTTCCCCGGCATCACCGACTTTCTCACCACCCGGGTCGAGATATCGACCCCCATATCCAGCTTCAAGAGACTCCAGGAAGGCCTTTTTCTGTACAAACATGGCTTATCCCCTTACGACGGTGGCGTCTTCCACCAGGCTCCACTGCTCCTTGTCATCTTTGAGATAGTCCCATCTACGGTTATCTTCACCGGCCTGGACATTCTGAACGCAGTATCCCTCCATTCTATCGCAGACAACCTCCAGCTTCCGAGCCCTCGGTTCCAGAAGCTGGACGGGTCACTCATTGCAGCGGCCTATCTGTCCAATCCTTTTACCATCCTGTCCTGCCTTGGGCGGAGCACCAGTCTCTTCACAAATGCGGCCATCATTCAAGCAGTCCTGCATGCTTCCTCGGGAGATGCAATCCGAGCCATGTTGGGCCTGGCCATCGGCACATATCTGTCCATGTATCCAGCTCTGCTCCTACCACCGACTCTGCTCCTGCTCCACAACCAAAAATCGGCGTCAACTTCCTTTGCCACCTCGATTCTATCCTACGTTGGAGGACTGGCAGCTCTACTGGCAACTGTACCAGTCTTGACCCACGGCTTCTGGGACTTCCTGGCATCGTGCTACGGCGCACAGATCACCGTGACTGATTTGACACCCAATGTCGGACTGTGGTGGTACTTCTTCATCGAGATCTTCGATTCCTTCCGGGACTTTTTCATCGGTGTCTTCTGGCTGCACCTCGTCGGCTACGTCGGAGGCATGACTCTCCGACTTCAAAACCAACCTCTTTTTGTCATTACCAGCCTCCTCGGGCTGTTCGCTATTTTTAAGCCATACCCAAGCATAGCCGACGTGTCGCTATATCTTGGGTTTCTTCCTTTGTACCAACATGTTCTTCCCTGTAAGACCATCCCGCCGAGCCTCGTGCAGACGCTGACTGGCCCAGTAACTCGATACACATTCATAGCAGCTTCGGTCTTGCTGTACTCGACCCTGCTTGGGCCTGCATTCCACCACTTGTGGATATACGCCGGGTCTGGGAATGCCAACTTTTTCTATGCCATCACTCTGGTTTGGAGTCTGGGCCTCACCATCCTGGTGGGAGACACGTTGTTCGCCGTGATGCGCGACGAATGGGAGATCGAACGACCCGAAATGAAGGGGAAGAGTGTGCGCCAAATATAGACGACAATCGCATCAGCGCTTCAATTGCTTCGACAGGATGATGTAGCTTGGTTCCTTCACTGTGCCATTTCTGAGTTTCCGAGGACCAGGTGAGAAGTCGTCTTCTTGGTAGCCCAACTTGGTATACCAGTCAACAGCCCTCGTGTTCGCCCGAAAGACAGTCAACATGACTTTCGCGAGACCGATATTGCGGGCAATTTGTTCCGCTAAATCCATCAGCTGCTTGCCCAATCCTTTGCCCTGCCACTGTGGAAAGAAGTGAATCTCGTATATGTAGAGGACTTCGCAGCCGTCTTCGTACGTGACCATGAAGGACACGAAGCCAGCCAGCGTGCTTTCGCCGAAAAGCGTGATGTATTTCATGTCCGGCAGCTTCATCTCCTTCCTCTTCTTGCTGACCGACCACCCAAAGTCCGAGTTCTCGTAATCATGAGCACTGGTGTGCTCGATCAACCTCAGACATATCTCCCGCCGAGACTCCGACAGGCTCGCAGCATCATCTACTCCCACACTATCTAGCTTTGGGTCACTGGACCACAACTTCAGGCGCGCCTCGTGCGGGTCGTACTTGCGGAAGAACTCCTGGCATGACAAAGCATTCACTGTCTCCACGGTTTTCCCCTCCGTATCTGCCCGATCTTGAGACTTCTTTCTGTTCGGCCACGTTGTTCCTCGCTTGACGCGCTTGGAACCCGACATGGCGCTGATCGTTCACTCACAGTCGAGGGACGATCGCGACGCGTTCTCTGAAGAAATGTCGTGGGGAATGAGGAGCCGCATACTGCACCGTACTCGACCGTATCAACCAACGTCGATAGGTTGCACGTGACGGCTTTTTCCACCGGCAGGATGACATCAGGGGAGATCTCCGCATCTGCACTGGAGCTTCTCGCCGTGAAGTGATTGAATTCGATACCAGCCCCACGACTTGAGCCAGTAAGACGTGGTTGAACTCTTCCCACCAGTGGATATGACCCTTCTTGTCGGGACGAGGTGATACCTGATTGGTAATGACTTAATTGCTCGAAGAGGAGGGCACATCACCAGGACGAAAACAGGCCGCTCCTCTATAACGTTCTTTTCTCCTTCGCCCACAATGGCCTCTCTATATATCCGCACGTTGCTCTCCTCCTCGCGGCCCCGTCTTCCCTCATCCATATACCGCTCAGCCCACCCTTCCTATCGCGTGGTGTCCACAGCCAAGATGTCCTCCGCACCCAAGCTCAAGGACCCCTCCCTCCTCATCCAACAAGCCTTTGTCGACGGTAAATTCGTTGACGCCGCCTCTTCGCAGACCTTTGACGTCCACGACCCCGGCAACGGGAAGAAGATAGGAACATGCCCCGAGTTCAGCGCTGACGATACGAACAAGGCTATCGCCGCGGCAACAGAGGCATTCGACTCATTCAAGAAGACCCTGCCCCGGGAAAGAGCGACATTACTGCGGAAATGGTATAATCTAATGGTCGAAAATGCCGACGACCTGGCGACACTGATAACGTGGGAGAATGGGAAACCCTTCAACGACGCCAAAGGAGAGGTCACGTACGCGGCGAACTTCTTCCAGTGGTTCAGCGAGGAGGCGCCTCGAGTGTATGGCGATACAATCCCGGCCTCCGTCCCCGGAAACAGAGTCATGACACTCAAGCAGCCTGTTGGCGTATGCGGTCTCATCACACCCTGGAATTTCCCTGCCGCCATGATCACAAGAAAAATCGGCCCCGCCATCGCCGCGGGGTGTACAGTCGTGGCTAAATCGCCTGGTGAAACACCCTTTACCGCCAATGCGCTGGCTGAATTGTCTCGCCGGGCGGGCTTCCCTCCGGGCGTGATCAACATCATTACAGCACTCAAGAATACGGCCGAGGTCGGTTCCATCCTCACCTCAGACCCGCGAGTGAAGAAAGTTTCCTTTACCGGCAGCACGAACGTCGGCAAACTCCTGATGAAACAAGCAAGCAGCACGCTCAAGAAACTCTCGTTTGAGCTAGGCGGGAACGCACCCTTTATCGTTTTCGACGACGCGCCCGACCTGGACGCAGCAGTCGCTGGCGCCATTGCATGCAAGTTCCGCAGCTCCGGACAGACGTGCGTGTGTGCAAACAGGATATACGTCCAAGAAGGGATTTACGACGAATTCGCCAAACGGTTTGCCGAGAAGGTCGGAAACTTCAAGGTCGGGTACGGCTTTGACGACAACATCACCCACGGGCCAGTGATTCACGACCGCGCGATCGAAAAAGTTGACTCTCACGTTCGAGACGCGGAAAAGAAAGGTGGTAAAGTTATCGTCGGAGGGAAGAAATTGCCCGACTTGGGCTCGAATTTCTATGCGCCCACGGTCATCACGAATGTCACGAATGACATGGCGATCGCTCATGAGGAGACATTTGGACCCGTGGCAGGTTTATTCCCCTTCAAGACGGAGAAAGAAGTCGTTGCCTTGGCGAACGACACCGAGGTTGGGCTGGCCGGTTATTTCTACTCGCGGGACATTGGCAGGATCTACAGAGTTGCCGAGGCCCTTGAGGTGGGCATGGTTGGCGTGAATACCGGTCTGATCTCGGATCCCGGCTCCCCGTTCGGCGGAGTGAAACAGAGTGGATTCGGAAGGGAAGGAAGTAAATATGGGATCGAGGAGTATCTGACCATCAAGAGCATCACTGTTGGTAATATCAGCAATGATCTGCAGGGCTGATGAGTGGATGCTGAAAGGGAAAAAAACAACTTCTGTACTGTACCCTACCCTAGCAGTTTGAAAAAGGTGAAAATACAGCAACTTGTGGTTCCGTGATCTCACCAGACAGTCATCAAAGTGCTGTTCTCCAGACGTTTTGTACCTGTTGGCCGTGAACTTTGTCCGTATCAGTCAGTCCACAGCCGTGGGTACATTCAGACACACTTCCACTAGTACCGCCAGGAAGCACGCAGAGCAGGCTACTGTACGGAGTGACCTTGGCTCGTAACGTACCTACAGTAGGCATCGGGGTAGGGAGTGGACTTACAAGTAAGAATAGCTGTGTGAACTGGGATGGCCAATGGGCCGATGGCGAGGCTGCCCTAGAAACGGATGCCGCTGTGACACACTAGGAGGGAGGATGAGGTAGGGAAAAACAAGACGAGGCCACGAGTAGGCCACGAGTACGGAGTACTCCCGTGCATAATGTAGTCCCACCGTCCAAGTCCCTGTCCTGCAGGATGCAGCACATATTAGTACATGGATTCCTGTCCGTGATGTCTTTTGTATCCTGGATGGTGTCGTCCTGACCTTAGATCGTACTCCACTAGATCGTGTTCGTGTCCGTGTCCTTGTTCTACCCCGTGTACTGTACCAATACAGTGGAATGGATCAAACCTGTGGCAACGCAGCGTGATGGTACCAAACGCGATAGGGAGCTGGGTATCGAGGCTACGACTGTGCGAAGGAATTGCACGACGATTGCTACGTACCGATGTACTGATTGGTAGCTACTTAGTTATGTTTGCTGCTGAAATACTTGTCCGCTTCGAAATGCAATACTGTAGTCCTCAACGTAGCTGCGCGCAAGCAGCTACAAGCCTGTATGTCCGTATCTGAAAGCAGCGCTCTGTCATCTGATGGACAAACTCACGCAGATTTTGCGTCGTTCTGGAAGCTGGCGACTCCCGAGTGAACAGGACTATCTGGGATGCGAACGGTTTTGTCGGCAACTTGTTCGCGCTGGATTCAAGTCGGAGCTCGAACGAACGTCGAGGTCGTCGTGTTGTATCCGCCATCGTCGCCGAACTTAAGTCGAAATGTCAAGCTCTAGTTTTGCGTCGGCGCCGATGCTCCTCGCGTGCTGCTGGTGGGATTGATTGTTGTCAGAATGGTCCACTTGACTCTTTGGATCCGTCATCACCCGTCCCCTCTTTGCCTGTGGTTTCCCGTCGCGCCTATCATACCCATTTCTGTGATCCTGTCTCAACTGTACTGTTCCTTCGCCATTGCCCGTGCCTTCGCTGCAAGTTCGTTGATCTCCTCCATCTGCGAGTGCGCCTTCGACAACATGCGCTCGCAGTCCGCTCCGTAATCGGGGAATGTCTTGAACAACCTTTCCTTGCCATCCTTGGGCCGGATCGCGTCGAGATCGGACTCTATGGCCTCGACTGTGGCTCTCAGAGCAGTTTTGATACTACCCGAGGCTCGGTTGATGATCTCCCGGAATTCCTCGAACAGTCGAGATCTGAAGTCATGGACAAAATCTTCCCTGGAAACCCGCTGCTGGAGGATACCGTGGCGTTTCTTCGTAGCGGCATGTCCTGTTTTCCGTTAGTCACGTTCACCTGGAAACGCAAAGAAGGTGCATCGTATGTACCGCATAGTCGACCGGCTTCGCGGTACGTCTCAAGCATACAATCCACAATGTAAGACTCCTGATGGGCACCGTTTGCGTCGAGCCTCATCTGTCCCAGATCTTTCATGTATGTCTTTCTGGCATTTTCCAAGGCGATTCTCAGAATGTACAGTCGGTTCAGGAGTGATTTCTCGAAGTTTGCAGGTGCGTGAAGCTCGCGGCACTGCGCAGCGTATGTCGTCACGCGTTCTGTAATATTAGCCTGAAGGATATTCAGAAGAGGATCGGTTTGCACCTCGAAGTCGTGCCAGCTTTGACCCATCACTTCGTCGTTGAAGCACTTCAAGAGCTCCGCATTCCAGCATCTTGGACCAATGCGAACGGTGCGATAGTTCCCGTCGTGCCGGGCCCATGAGCCCACTGATGCATGTGGCCATGATTCCCAAACTCGAGCCACATCGTGACAAGCCTTGCAGATTTTCCCAGCACCCTCCTCCAGAGGAGAATTTACGCACTTCTCAAAGACATCGTGCATCCTCATAACCCATTCCGAGAGGAATTCATGACATACCTCAAGCTCCGCCGCTTCTGGAAGACGTGGACGACTCTCAAGCTCCGGGTCTACCCTGCAAGACTCTACCCAATTGCCGAAGGAACCTATCAATGCTGGGATCTCCTTTGCCAGGAGGAGATCCGTAGCTTTGAACAGCGGCTCCGCGGGAAGGTCTTCGAGGTGCTGTCGGAGTGCAGGAATGCCACTTAGCTCCCTCTCAGCTTCTGTTTTGGCCTTCGAGTACAAAGAATTGTCGATGCAGAAGACGTTGAAGTTTCCGTTCTGGACATACGACCCATATTTTCGCTTCAAGTCTTTCCCGACCCTCTCGTTTCGAGTATTGATCAGCAGAGTGTCAAGTTTACGCTGGGCGTCCTTGGCGGCTTTCTCGTCCTGTTTCTCGGCCTGCCGGATTTCATCCCTTGCTTTGCTGACTTTGGCGCGGCCAACCATTTTCTCCAAGGTCCCATTGCATTCCAAACCTGCCGCAGAATGTGTGCATATAATAGTGATATTGAGACATGCAGCCTGCTGGGCTTCGGCCTTTGCCCGCATGAGCTCCAAGTTCTGCGGGACAATGGGTAGATCGCAGGCCCGAGAGATGTCTACCACGAGGCATAGATCGTCGCACTTACTTTGAGCTTTGCGGGCTGCTCTGATTCTCGCAAGATTCGTGTCGTTGAATCCAGGCAGGTCAACCAAAGTGAGGCCTCGGCTCAGGATACCAATATTGGAAAAGATAGAGAGACGTTTGACGAAAGGCCAGAGACCGCGGTCTTGGAGAAGTGACTGTTGATCCTGACATTCCTCTTCATCTTGCGCTTCTTGGATCCAGGTGCCATCGTCCTGCATATCGTCTGGAAACTGGAGTTGCTGACAGCATTTGTCCAGATGCTGTTTCGCCCGCTCTATGCTTTCGTCGTCGTCGCCGTGCTCGAGCAAGTCCATGTCAAAGTCTTCGAGGTCTCCAAAGGCTGCCTGGAAGATGTCCTGCGCTGCCTTGCCGTCGTCATAAATCTTTTGGTCCTGGAGATCTCGGCCCTCCTGATCGACCGTCGAAATCCGGGAAAAGTCGCGTAGCAAGTCACCCACATATTCGCCGAGCTCTCCCTTAGACATCAATTTGCATTCCAACGTGAACACAGAATGATGTCTCTTCTGGCAGATGCGATATTCTGCGGCGAAAGGTGTGACAGCAGAACCGCAAGCACCAGTTCTTGCTACGCCGACCTGGTCGAGGACGGAGTTGAGGGAGCTGCTCTTTCCAGCACCCGAGTTGCCAATGAACCCAATCAATCTCTCAGTAGGAATTTGAACGTTTGCCAGAGACTCGGCTTCTTGAAGCAGTCGTTGTGGAAGTTCGTGTGGACATTTTTTCAGTTCGCGGGCAATCAGTTCAGCAAGGTTTCTACCTTGGGTTGCCGCCAATTCGAAGGAAGGTTCCCGGAAGGGTGGGTATGTCAACCTCACTGCTGCAGCTTGATCTCTAGTTGCAATGATCTCGCTCATCGTGTCTGCAAGCCTTTGGGTATGTATTTCAGGGCGTGGCTCAGAGTGGTATTAACAGCAGGAGTAAATATCGCTTCACTGACCTGCCAACTGCAAGGGTGAAGCGAAGGAAACAGAACTTGAAGGGGTGGTTGAGTAGTACAGAATGTGAGATGAGAGTGGAGTGAGACAGAGCAGTAGTCAGCAGCGGCCGAGATCGGTGGGGATGTGATGATTCTAAGCTCGTCTCAAGACGCCAGGGTCCAAGCAGGTGTAGTATGTGAGATTTTGATCGAGGCGTAATCGTGTCCTAGAGTGTTTGGAGAGAGTATACTTTTGAAATTCAGAGGATATTCTCATGGTAGGAATGAAGGTAAGTAAGAGAAGAGAGATCTGCTGAATAATGTTAGAGAGGAAGTGGGCTGAGTTTAAAGAAGAAGATAATAAAGAAGGGGAAGAGGGAGAAGAGGGAGAAGAGGGAGAAGAGGGAGAAGAGGGAG